AGTGCGCGAGCTCCTATCAGAAATTCGTTGCGCCGCCCTTGGGGGCAAAAAACGGTGAAAGCTAACGTACGAAACCAGAGGGCAGCACAGGATGTGTTCGCACCATCCTGCCCGTAAGCAATCTCCCAACTCATCTCTGTTAATAATAAATCCGAATAAGCTCGAGTAAACCAGTGGGGAAAGGCCTGCAAAGGTTCGGCACGCGAGTGCGGGGGGTATGAGGAAGAGATTCTCTTCGGCGTTTACTCGCGCACTTTTCCCGAGACTTTTCTCTGGCAGACTTCATCCCGAGTTCCGTTTGTAGTAAGCAGTCTCGAAATTGCTGGAAAGGAGAAGCGAAAGCGTTGGAGTCGCTTCGCAATCGGAGTACCGTTTGATGTGAAGAATGGCTCACGATCGCTGATGTTTTGATTCGTGATGTCTGGGGACAAATAATTAAGACAGCTGCCCATGTTCCGCTAATGTTCGCCAGTTGGCCTTGGCACTAATGGTACGATTAGCCTTGGTTTCGTACTCTTTTAAATGAAGACAGTTCCATGCATTTCTCAAGATCCAGAGTCCAGGGCGCACCTTTCACGTATGATCTTACCAATGTCAGCTGCTCCTCGCAATAGGAAGCCTGTAAACGTCACTCGTTAACCGCATTATAAATATAGTGCATCCTAGTCAAGCCGCTTTTTGACAAATCTCGTCTATTCCTTTACTTATTATACAACCAGAGTAATGCAAGTCTCTGTCGTAATTACTGGAATAACCAGTCATTAATTGGCAAAAAAATACGGCTTGTCTGTGATCGAAAGGATCGGGGCATATATGTAAATTAAGTGCTCGGAATGTAAAGAACTAGTTGTACAATTGACGTTTCAATATGGCTGTCTCAGGTAGCAAGTGTTGATGCGTGTCCTTATATTTATGGAGTACAGGGGAAGTTAACAAGTGCAGATAATGCACTTTGTGTTAAGAAACGGCAGAGAGGCGTATGAACTGTAATGGGGTGGAAGGTCACCGTGACGCTATGGGTCGTTACATGGAGTTGCCTGACACGGAGCTTTTGGTTTGCCGTTCAGGCACCTCCAAAGCAAGTTCCTTGTGACAAAACGAGAAAGGTCTTTACCGATTCATGGGGCATCATCAGTGATGGCCCTATGGGTTCTAATTATACCCAGGATTCTCATTGCGAATGGCTAATTAAAGGTACATCTATTTAATTCAATTATGATCACTGGTAGTAATATTTAAGTATCGGTATAAATTGAGTAATGTCAGTCATTGTGAAATTGATTTTTTTTTCAGGAAATGACAGTCGTCAGTACATTACATTAAGTTTCCGTACAATGGGCACTGAATGTAGTTATGACTATGTATTTGTTTACGATGGAGATTCTTTTCGATCTCCTTTATTAGGCAGTTTTAGTGGAAAAACAGAACCACAGCAAGTAATATCGTCATCTGGTCATGTAAGTATCTTTCAAGAAATGTTTTGTTTTATTTGTTGATATTGCTTTGTATAGCATCTTTGTATTTTTGCAGATGTTAATATTATTGTACAGTGATACAAATTATGTATTGGACGGATTCCATGCTGAATTTTCAGTCACGGATTGCCCAAATAATTGTACGAACCATGGGAAATGCATAAATAATATTTGTTTCTGTGAAAATGACTGGGGTGGAAAAGATTGTTCTAGAGCTTTGTGCCCAAACAATTGCAATAACAAAGGCATTTGTGGTTTGAATCGTTGTGAATGTGATCCTGGATATTCTGGGCAGTCTTGTTCCTTGCATAAGACAGATCCAGAAGGAAATAGGTAAAGTGTGATTTCTTTGAAATATTAATCATTTTCTATATTACATTATGTTCATGAATGATTTTACATGCATTATTTTTTTTTTTCAAGATGGCATTGGTTATCTCACTCAGAAAGTGGAATGACTCCTCGAGCGGCTCACACAGCAGTGTATATAAATGAAACGGACTCTCTTTATGTTTTTGGTGGTTACGATCTAAATTACATTCTTAGTGATTTAGAGGTTTACCGATTTGGAACGAGTCTCTGGGAAGATGAGGAAGGAGCAGTGTTGGGTAAGTTCTTTTTTTAGTTACAAGTTTTATATTTCCTAAGTTGAGTAATTAATGGATATTTATTTTGTTTCATAAATTTAGAAGATAAATCATCCGTTGATTCTTTGGATCCGACCTTGATATCCAGTGAATTAAAACGTGTAGGGCCTGAAGTAGAAGCACAATACGGTTTGCGAAAATCGTCATTTATTTGGAGACTATTATTCAATATAAAAGATAACGGCACATTTGCTCTGAGAGACAGAGCCACTGTTGATGCTGGCCAACACGGTTGGCGAGAACTTAGGAACACTCCGGAACACAAGGAAAGAGAACGTAAAGCTCAAGAAGCGCGTGAAAATGAAATGAGAAAAAATTCACAGCAAGTCGATAGAAACGAAACCCAAAGGAGGAAAAATTCACGTCGTGTCAAGCCACGATATTTTCAATCAGCGGTGCAGAGGTTCTTTCCTTTTTCAAATTTAGTGCTATTAAAAAACCTAATTTCTATTTTAATAGTTTCTACATTTTATTTGTTAAACTCATAATGGCAGGGGAATTTGCTAATCGAATACTTTATTTTTAAAGGCACCGGAGAAATTCGGAGAGTGAACCTGAACATCAGCATCGTCATGCATCAAATATTGAAGACGATGGGGTAAAATGGGAAAATGGATCCTTGGACCTTCAAGGTGAAAATGTTTTCTTACAAAAAATTCTAGATCCCAAAATAACAACAGAGTCAGCAGCTAAGGATGAAACAACACCAAATTATGAAGAACTTCCTAAACCCAGCCCGAGATACGGTCACGCTGCATGTAAATACAAAGGTAAACAGATTTATTAACACATTCCCTACCGTGTAGATAGTCAGTGAGTATTTTGGCATAGAGCGGGTTAATGCCATGCTGTCATACTTATTCTTGATAATCGCAGGTGGTTTTGTGGTATACGGAGGAAAAGTAGAAGATGGTTCCCTCTCCAATGAACTGTGGCATTATAGTGTTGATAATGGCGTTTGGACACTTCGTGCTAAAAACTCTCCATTTTATCCGCCAAGGCTTACAAGACACACGCTCACTTTGGCACGTGATTCTATTTATCTATTTGGAGGAAGCACGGTGGATGGAGAATTCTCCTCGAGCCTCTATACAATAAAACTTAATCTTTGTAAGCTGACATTTTCATGAATTATTATTATAAGTATTAACACTGAGATTAAATGTGAAGCAAAATATTGCAGTGCAATTTTTATTGGCTGTTCTAATTATCTGGTAAATTAATTGTATCTTAATACTCGATACAGCTGATCCAACAGCAAGCACAGAACGGTGGAAAGAAGTCAGACCTCGTGGTGGAAAAGAATTAGATGTTCGGGTTGTGGCTCACTCAACTGTGTATCATCACGCCACAAATTCACTACTCGTCTATGGTGGTGTAGTAGCGAGCGTTGCAAGGTTCAGCAAATTATCCGACAGAATGTTTGTATTTCAATTGGATCGAAAGGTCTGGTCTGAGATACATTATCCCAGAGCGCCTTTAAGAGATACATACGTGCCAAAGGAACGAGCATTTCATACTGCTAATATTATAGGTACTTAAGATTTCATTTACATTCTAATGAATTATTTATTTAATAATTAGTTTTTTTATTCATTTTCTCCAGGTAATTATTTAGTAGTGTTTGGAGGTTATTCGCATAGGCATAACAAAGAAGAAATTTGTTACGACAACCAGATGTACCTTTATCATCTTGGCTGTCACGCATGGGTTAGTCACGATGTGTTGGGATTGAATGTAAAAGGTAAATTCGTATTTTATTTCTCTCTTCCGCTAAACTGAAATTTATTCCACGCATATTTAAAACTATCTGAATTTTATGATGGAATTTAAAATTATATATTTTCGTAGGATCACGTTATCCCAAGCAGCAAGGAGTATTTGCTCATGCTGCAGATGTTCGAAATGGGAATACTTTACTTTTGGTTGGAGGTTATCACGGGAACGTGAATGCTGATTTCCTTGCGTACACATTGCCACCGATGCTTGCTCCAGGTGACAATGACAGTGTGGAACCGGAACAAATTTGTTCAAGGTATACAAGTCTGATGGAGTGTGCAGCTAACCCGGAGTGTGGTTGGTGTTCGGCAGGCGAGGTAAAATGCCTTTTGCAAAAATAATTGCACGAAGAGAAAATCTTGAGCATTGGCTCTGTTCAATTAAAAATGATTTAATTCATATGGTATCAATAAATTAAATTTCAGATCTGTTATGGTCGTACTGTGGGCAGCAACTGTACGACAAATCTTCAAACAACGAGGTGTCCTGGTGTATGCCCAGCATTAGGCGATTGCCATTCTTGCTTGATTCATGGACAGCCTGGCGGTGGCTGGGGCACCAATGCACGAGGCAAAAGTTCCGTTTCGAATAAACTTAATCTTGGCACTTGCACTTGGTGCGTCCAAAATGCACGTTGTCATCACAAGGATGACAATTATGGGGTCTGCGGACTGAGGGATGACACTCCATCACAGATCCCTGGGTGGTGGGGTCCAAAAGGTACTGAAATTGCTAAAGTTGAAGAGTGTCGTGAAATGGACAAGAGACCAGGATTGACGTTTTTGAAGTACAAGCCACCAGTAAACTTCAGTCAGCCCGATTCTGTAACCATTGTTAATGCAACAACAGTGGACTTCAATGTGCCATCGATGCAGGGAGCGAAAACTGAGGTTGCGTTGGGTGGTGAGATGATTGCAAGACTCATTGGGTTCCTCAGGCCACCTCAGAATTTTTGGGATAGCACAGTAGAACATTTAAGAATTTGCGTCAGCTATAACAGTGCTACCTTACATGTATCACGCAGCGATGACCACCAAGAACTGGTAAGAAACGTCTTCGGTTTCATTGGTGTCTTTTATTGCGTTTTGAAGAAACTTCTTTCTGCTTTAGAGCATTAAGAAATTACCACAAATATGAAATTAATCATTTCAGGAACTGGTTGCAAATCTAACTGCCTCAACGTCGCAGTGCACTCAGACCATGTGGCCCGATGGGTACGAAATGAGACTTTTACCAGGACGCTATCTTTTGGATTTCGAGTCAAAGAGAATGGTTACAACGAGTGATGCTTATGCTAGTAAAATGGAAATAAATCATAATAGAAATATGGAGAATCCTAAAGTATTTACGTTCGAATACTTAGAGCCCTATCAAAATGGATCATGCCATCAATACAAAAACTGCTTACATTGTCTAACGGACTCTTCTTGTGGTTGGTGTGATATCAATAATAAGTGTTTGTCGCGCAACGTTAACGAGACGGAGTACTGTTCTGCTGATGTGGAATGGGACGAAAGCGGTGATCCTGTTAGAGAGTGGCATTATCTAACGATCACTCCATCAACCTGTGCTAACTGTTCCAATTACATCTCATGTGAATCGTGTGTGGGTAGTAACTTGTGCGAATGGTGGACAGAGGATGCAAGATGTGCAAGACTGGGCAGGTTACCTTATGCCGTGGTGAGTCTTGATCAGTGTCCAATACCTTGCAGACAGCGTTCAAACTGTACGCAATGCCTCGATGAACGTGGAAGATGCGTATGGTGTGAAGCAACGCAGGAATGCTTTTCCTTTTCTGTGTACACTTCCGAATACCAGTTTGGTCTGTGTCGAGAGTGGATGGATCAAGCTGGCCTCATGGGTGTTATTTCCAGAACGAGCTCTTCGTTAACTATGACCGGGACTGATCAGTGCAAGAGCTGTAGTCGACACGCTAATTGTTCCAGTTGCCTACACTCTCTGAGTTGCGGGTGGTGCTACAGCCTAGAGAATCCCATCATAGGTGCTTGCGTTCAGGGTGACTTTAACCGACCACATATTAATTGCAGTCTCGTTATTAATGAATATCAGAATTACACTCTAGCAGTAAATGAATCTGGCTGGGCTTACGCTCAATGCCCAGATGTAGACGAGTGTGACTTGGGTCTACATGATTGTCATCCAAATGCAGTGTGTACCAACACTCACGGTAGTTTCAGTTGTCAGTGTAAACGTGGGTTCCATGGTGACGGTAAAGAGTACTGCATTAAGACTTGTTACGAGGAGTGTGTTAACGGTTATTGCAGCGAAGCTCCGGATTATAAATGCAAATGTTTCCTCGGCTGGACTGGGCCGGACTGTAGAACGAATTGCGGCTGCTATAATCATTCTACTTGTACTCAAGGACCTGGTGTTTGTGACAAGTGTGAAAACTGGACGACTGGCAAATACTGTGAAGAATGCAAGGCAGGTAGCTATGGCAATGCTACGACAAGTTTAGGTTGTCAGAAATGTAATTGCAACGAACACGGAGACAAGGAGATAGATGTGTGCGATCGACAAACTGGAATTTGTTTCTGCCGCGATAATACCGAGGGTGATAGATGCGAGATCTGTCAGAAAGGTTACTATGGTGATCCTCGTGATGGTGGGATGTGTTATTATGGGTGTATGTCCAGGGGAATGCTTGGAGGTGAAGGTAATAGCAGACAGGGACTCGGTAGTCGTCACTCGCAACTTCCATTGTGGGAAACTCATTTCGGTGGATCACCCACCAGAGAGTGCTTGTGGATCGTTAGTCCAAAGACAAGTCTATCTCCCGATGCAATGACATCGAGTATACAGAGTGTTATTCAGTTCACCATACATGATGACATCAACATCACCTGTCAAGAAAACAGCGTTTACGTTTATGACGGATTACCTGATTTTGTGTCCTCCACGAGTCATCAAAGTCAACTGTTAGGTGTCTATTGCACGGAGAGTACTGATTATCCAGTTACCGTGGAAGCTAAATCTGGATTTTTGACAGTTCACTATAAACAGCTTGACGAGGTCGAAGGATTTAATGCAAGCTATATCGTGATGACATGTAACAATTGCCCTGTGAATCGTGAGTGTAGGAATGGTAATTGTCTCTGCAAGCCTGGCTTTGTTGGAATCAATTGTGACGTCGAACTCTGCCCAAATAATTGCACTTCCTTGAAAAAACAGGGTGTCTGCGACAAGGGTTATGGACACTGTGTTTGTGCTCCAGGGTATGGGGGACGTGATTGTTCCATCAAGATCAAGGGTAACCAGTTGGTCTTTACCGAACTTTTTAACTCTGAATACTTAGCCGATCATCTGGACCATCTAAGAAAGACTCTTCCACGATTCGGTCACAGTTTGGTCGCAGATAGGAGAGGTAGTCTTTGGATGTTTGGAGGGTATTCCTTAAGCCATGGTCCCCTTAATGACATTAGATTGTTCGATACGAAGAATAATACCTGGATGCCTGTAACCGTAGAGTCCACATCAGAGGCTTCGATGCCCCAGGGTCGATATTTCCATGCAGCTGAGATCGTTCACAGCAGACAACAGATCTACGTTTATGGAGGACTTTCCATGAAAGAAGAGGGCGTCCAAGGGCTGTCAAATAATACATTAAGTGACTTTTGGAAATTCAGCCTTCAGAATCAGAGGTGGAGTCAAGTGACGCAAGATTCTTTCAAGAAGGAACCTCCTCCACTGGCTGGTCACACTTTGACGTTGCGTAGGGATGGTGAATTCGAGAGTTTAATCTTGATCGGTGGCTTCAGCCCTAAATTCGGGTATCTTGACACAGTGTGGGAGTTTAATCTCGAAACAGATATGTGGGATACCATTACTACAATGGGAAATGGCCCTCTTGGAGTTTATGGCCACTCTACGGTGTACCATGTTAGATCCGATAGTCTTTACGTATTCGGTGGATATTCTTACGCCATTAACAGAACCTTTATCTCCAATAAACTCTATGCTTTGAATTATAAAACTCGCACTTGGTCGGTGTTACCTCCCTTCAAGGACGACTTCAACGATGGCAGTGGATTGGTAAGTCATTCTTCGTCTATTCACTTTTATCACACAAAGTTGGTTATATAAATGATATTACGAAAGTACTGCATACTTGTAATGCTTTGCCTTAAACGGTTTCAAGTCTTTAAATTTATATTTATATTTCACAGCCACAAGCAAGGTTCTTGCATTCTGCTGTGACGATGGATGAATATATGGTTATCTTTGGTGGACGGCAGAGTCCACACAATACATCGGATTCTTTGATAGCTTACAAATATTCTTGCAATCTATGGATTCGTCTAATTACCAAGGATATGGAGATCATCGGTAGTCCACCACCGCCAGCTTATGCCCATGCTATGACCCATGCAGAACCAGAAACTAATGCTGTTTATGTCGTTGGTGGATTTGATGGCGGTATTAAAAGTCACGTCACTCTCATCAACATCCCTGAGGATCTCTGTAATCTGTGGACCGATAAGTCAACCTGTAGAAAATACATCGGCTGTTCCTTCTGTGCAGTCACCACCGTAGCTGGTACCAATGCTTCTTATTGTTTTTCAAACGAAAAATTGACAAACAGAGATGACAAGTAAGCATTTAATGATAAACGTTATTATTCATTTAAAAGGATTCATTTTTGGACGGTTTGATTTGTATCAGTTTACAAAATATAAATGGAAAAGTTAGGAGTTGGTATTATATCGATTTCTACTTATTTTCAGATGTGATATTAATGTCACACAAGTTCAGCGATCCAATGGTGTTTTCTGTAACTCTACCTGGCTAGCAAGTAGGAACTGTCAGAGTTTTAATAGCTGCACCGAATGTCTAGCACAGTGGCCATATTACGAAGACGACAGTCTTGTGTGTAAATGGTGCGCAAATTGTCCTCGCGGTAAATGTATTCCTCTGGATCAAGATTGTAACGAGCAGGATAAATGCAATGTTAGGCAGATGTCGATTACCGATGTCAATCGATGTGACGAAAGACAATGTCCAGCGAGTGACTGCGAGAAGTGCAAAAATGTAGGGAACTGTGTATGGACTAGACAAGTTTCGAAGACATGTAAGTGTGTAACTTAAAGCGGAACACGCGATTAATCAATTAAATTAATTTAAAATATTTCACATACTCTTCCAGCTGACTCAGGAGTGAACATAACGGAAGGATCTGTCCACGACTGGACTTGCGTCCCAGCAGATATTATTGACAGATCAAGCATTAAACTGAGCAATGCACAATGTGAAAAAAGATGTAGCGACCACAAAGACTGCACAAGTTGCTTGGAAGGTACTGGTGCCGAAGGAGGCTGGCAAGAATGCAGATGGTCTACGCAGCTGCATGAAGTATGACAAAATGACATATACATGAACTACTCTTTACCTTGAAATTGTTAATATTTCTTAATTACTAAGCTGCTTAGTTATAACCCTGCAATTACGTTCACAGTGTATTTCCCCTTCGTACCAACCACTTTACTGCGCCGGTGGAGTTTGCGGGCTGGTGTTGAGAAGTTCTGATATCGAACACTGTCCAGAACCCTGTTCCGTCTTTAAACAGTGCAGTACATGCTTGAAGCACTCTCATTGTGGATGGTGTTCTTTGGATTCAGCCAATATCACTGGACAAGGTATCTGTACCGAAGGTTCTCTGGAAGCTCCAACGGATCATCCAGCTGGTGGGACCTGCGAGATGTTGTATCATCAACACTATCCTCAAACGGAATCACGTAAGGCGAGCTTCCTTTCACTTTCAACAGGGTTAAATTCAATTGCTTATTGGAACTATTTTTTAGCCGTCGTGTCTCTTACCGCTAGTCTGGTGGACTCGGTGGAGCTCCAAGAAAACTTAACAACTTCGGTGACAGCTGTCGTGCAGCCTGCATTTTCCTGGCATTACGTGCGCTGTCCTCCTGAAAACGAATGTTTGAATGGCCATCACACTTGTTCCCCGAAAAGTGAAGAATGTTCTGACCTTGAGGAAGGCTTCGAATGCAAGTGTGGCCGTGGATATAACAAAACTGACACGTAAGAAGCAATTTTCATCGTCCTATGTCGTTTGATCTACGACTTCGTGTTTGTTTCGACATAAAATACGCTTCGAAGTAATTCTACGTACTCTTTGAAGTAAACTGAACTTCCATAAATAACATTTCACGTTATATAATTTGTATTATTAATTCAGTTTTCTTCCTATGTAATGAATTAATTGATTGAATATGATCAGGTGAGAATCGTTATTTATGATCGATATTTGTTTTCCAGAAACGTTTGTGTACCTATGTGCACCCAAGGATGCATTCGAGGTACGTGCATTGAACCAGACGTCTGTCGTTGCGATTTCGGGTACGTCGGTGCCAATTGTTCAATCCAATGTCAATGCAACGGGCACAGTAATTGCAAGGGACCGGATAAACTTGATCATTGCTTGAAATGTCATAACAATACAATGGGACCTCAGTGTGACAAGTGTCTGCCTTTGTACGTCGGCAATCCGATTAACAACGGCCAATGCGTGCCTTGTTTGGAATACTGCAATGGGCATACGCGAATTTGTATTAACGAAAGTATGACTGTACCGGTAAGTCAAAGTCATTTTATAGTATACAATGTTCCTGATAATGCATTCTTGATTCGATCTTTTATTCAAGGATCCTAATTCCATCGATAAGATGGACATTAAATTACTGAAGGAACAATTAGTCGAGGGGCCCGTGGACAAAGCGAAATGTATCAATTGTGGCAACAATACAAAAGGCGATAAATGTGGTGAATGTATGACCGGATACTTTCGAGGTACTGAAGACCTTAGAGACATATGTCGGCCGTAAGTGTCATACTGATTTTTAAATTACGTAGTAGATTTCTTTAGAACCATTTTCTAGCATAATTACACATATCTTGATCATCTGGATTATTTTGGATTATGTTACTACAATAAGGGTATGCTACGGTTGGAATAAATTATTAATTGAGCAATTTTTCGATAAGAGTATGCTACTGTTATATGAGATTAATAAATGAAACGTGTTTGTAAATAGTTGCGTATGTCATGGTCATGGATACACCTGCGATCCTGTGACTGGGGAGAAGTGCAATTGCGGTAATAACACGGAAAGCGAACCATCCTGTACGAGTGGCCCTACTAAAGGAACCAGCACTGCAGGAATTCCCTGTTGGATGGTGCAGTGCAGCAGGTGCAGGGAAAATTATGCTGGAACACCTACGATGGGCCATCAGTGCTACAAAACGGTGACCGTCGACAACAAAATGTGTTTCGATTCGAAGTTAATAGGTGAGTCGTGTCACATTAATCTAAATCTTATAAATAATTAAAAAGGTGGAACTGTGCCCACCCTGATAAAGAAGTGCCATGAAGATGTAGTACATATTTTCAATATTTTTATGCGAGTTCTATAACGATATCGTATTTCATGGAAATCACAGTGACGTTATTTCATGAAGCATTGTTCTTGTTAAATTACACCATGCTTTTGTATCCTGTGAGGAACCTACGGTTCGTACTCTCTGTCACGACTAGTGTCTTCTCTGTTCCTTTCGTTACTACCGGTGGATTGTCAATAAAATGAGAGAATTTCTTTCAGACGAGTGCAAGATGAAACCGAAACCCTTGAACCCTGGGCAGACAGTCTTCTACATGGTGCAACCGCGTTTCATGAACGTCGATATCAGAGTTATGGTCGACGTGACGCAAGGAGCTTTAGACCTTTTCCTGAGTCCCCGGGACGACTCCTTCGTCGTTAATTTGAACTCAACGACGGGTTATCAGGAGGTAAGCGTTAGTAATTATTTCTTTAGGAGTTCTTAGCCGCGAGAAAAGTTCCGTAAGCAAATATTTCCTATACTTTTTATTTCTCTTTTCAACACACTTCGGTTAACTGCATTTCACAACCTACCAGCCCCTTTAAGGGGATGTGAAAGTCGCATCCGAGGGGACCATCGTTCACAAAACTTTTTTCCGAAATGGGTGTACCGAATCGTTTGTAACTTTGCAACGTGAATATGGAGGCTGTAGGGAAGGTCCCGACACCCATGAAATTTCATAAAAAAAAAATGTTTAAAATGTCTATAAATACATTTTAAACAAAATTTGAAATTTCATGTTTGTCAGGATCTTATATCCTCCATATTCACGTTGTGAAGTTTAAAACGATTCAGTACATTCCTGTTTAGAGAAAAGTTTCATAAACGAGACCTATTTAATGCCATTTTCACATCACCTTGAGCAGTCGGCGTAAATTTAAGAGCTCCTAGTTTAGGTAATTCACGAAAATATCGTTTCCTTTTCTAGGTCGAGCTAGATTATCGGTTTCGATGGCGAAAGGACACGCAGGACAGTTGGCTGGACAATCAGTCCCGAGAGAAGATTCGGGTGGTCGAGTTCCACCAGAACGGTTCCGAACCGAGCTGGAACACAGGGCCACACTATATTGTCGTGGAGCGCTACGCCGAGGGGCTGGTGACCTTCGTAACGGTGGACCAGAGGAACACCTTTCTCGTGGTCAGGAACCTAACGAATCGGCTCGTGCTGACCCTACCCCAGGACAAGCACGAGCTGGTGCAGACCAAGTTCCACATAGCCTTAAGGGCCATCGACACGCCGAATCCCGAGATCAACGGCAGGGCTGCCTACGGGATGATCTTCTTCAGGCAAGACCAGTTGCACATCGACCTCTTCGTCTTCTTCTCGGTGTTCTTTTCCTGCTTCTTCCTCTTCCTGGCGGCCTGCGTCGTCGCCTGGAAGGCGAAGCAAGCGGCTGATGTGAGGCGGGCACGCAGACGTCACGTCGTGGAGATGCTACACATGGCCAAGAGGCCCTTCGCCTCGGCCACGATTCTCTACGACCGGGATGGCAACAACTGCAGCCCGAACTCACCCCAGCGAAAGGGCAGAAGAAGCAAACTGGCTAATTTTCACAGCGACGTCCGCCCGGTCGCCGTCGAGCCGACCGACGACGATGTCGCCGCGGTCGCCACCGTCTTCGTCAGACTCCCCGGAGGGCAGCAGGCTCCTGTCAAGCTGGCCCTTGGCAGTTCCCTCATCCTCTTGACTAGGGTTTATCCTGTCAATAGCAGAGTTTTTCTCAGACGTAGGAACAGTCACGCTCCGATCTGATCTTTACTGTATGGGCAGAGTTGCTTGCTCCGGTTGGACGGTCAACGCGTGTAGACAGATGACGACTAATCGCACCGCGGTTGACTGGTCGGATCGTAATTTCGCTGATGCTTGGCGAGATCATTTATTAGAGTTTAGTGACGAGTCGGATAATTTATGAACTCGAGCTGTTTAAATTCCAAAATATTTAACAAGTTTAGACGAGTCGATAACTCGGCGAAGGAAAGAGAATCGCGTTCGCATATATTGGATTGATGCATAAGTAATGGCGTTTTTAACACGTGACGTAACATGTTAAAAAAATGCCATTACTTATGCATCAACCCAATACTTGATGAGGCGAATCAGGATTACGGAGCGCTTGCGAGGATCATAAGTCAAATATCGACAGCTCGAGTTGATGAATAACTTTTGGTAACTCGGTTTTGTTTCCACATTCGTAACTCGGTCTCACTCTAACACTTGTAGTTTATATTTATCAGTACCGATAATCAACGTTTAACGAGTTGAAATATCTGACTCGTCCCGTTCTTATCGGTGTCACGTTATTGACAGATTGAAATAGCGATTGATTGAAAAGATATTTATAAATGTTCCGGATTGAACATTTTCGTTTGTTCTCGGACGACGTCAGCTGGTTACCCGACAATTCTGTTACGCTTCAGGGGATTAAGTTAAGCATGAATTTGTCGAACAATGGTTACCGTTTCATTATTAGAAACCGGGAGATGATCGATACATATCTAAGTCAAAACGTCAAAGCCTCAGTGAAATTACGGATTATTTTAAACTCCGGTTATAATCAAGTGACATTCGTCTCATCTCTGTTTCGAAGTGATGCTCGGACTTCTACGGCCCTTTTTAAATATTCAGGATTTCGCGTTCGAGCGTTAATATTCTCCACTTTTGCTTTAATAGCGGCAAAATCGGTAATGGCAGAAAATGCATCTTGTATTTACGGGTATCCCGTGGTTTCTTTTTCTTTCTTTTTTAATCCGTCATTTTTACGAGATATTGGGCGAGGAAGTTGGGTCGAAACGCCGCCAATCTCTTTTTAAATTTCGTCGAAAAATATTTAACGCTTTTGCCGTTTGGAATCACTAATGAAGAACCGTCTTTTAGTATTGCCGTAAATTAATTACTCGTTTCGACAGGGATGTGAGAAAAATGATGTGGAAAAAGTGAACGTCGTCGGACTTCGCATGAGGACTTGCGAAATAATTTCGCGCGTTCGTCGCATGTATCATAGCTCGAAATCGGCGAAGCGATCGTAAGATTGTTTTAGAATAGATACATAGTTATAATATATTGCCACATCATTCCGCGATGAGACTGTAAGTTTTTTGTATATAGCAATTTGTATATGATATCGTGTCGGTCGATGCGTTAACGCGCGATTGCGTAGAAGAGTTTTACATGACCAATAATGGGTTCTCGTAGCTACTCGATAGCATGTTCGTTATGAAACATTTTTCGAGTCCCCCTTTCTGTTCTTGTATTCGCGATTTTTTTTTTCTCTTGTAATTATCTCGCTTACGCAGCCCCGTTTTAGGATCGAATTTACGACGCACCCATCAGATTTTTAATCGATTTAAATGGATGACGTTCCTGACTCTGATTAGTCGAAGAATCATTCACTCTCTGTTGAGTTTTTATTAGAGAATTTTCTCGCGGAATTTTTAGCGCTCCTTTGAGAGAAACCGAGGCGATTTAACTATCGGAGGATACTTGCAAAGCTTTGTTAATTGTGTACCTTGGAGTTCTGGAGTTTTGTACAATTATCTTGATTAATTATTCGCGATGTGTTACCGCCTCGTCATCCAAATGTCACTTGATAATTAGTAAGAAATTATTGTTTTTAGATTGATTCTCACGGTCTACGATCTCGAGCCTGGTTTGACATTGCGAGATTACTTTCAAATATTTGGATATTCAATGAGGATTAATAGTGTGTATTTCGCAGTGACTGATGCTATCGATTAACCGATTAACAATAACAAACTGGCCATATTGCTTCCTAGTTAGAAATTTCCTACTTCAAGATATATATAGCGAATAATCGGAACTTTGACAGAAGACATTAAGCGTAAATTGTTTGTTAAAATTAAATTAATAGTTTCATTCATTAATTCTCTCTTAATGCATGAATAACAAATGGCAACGGTAAATGCTAATTAACATTGAGCGAATATTTTCTCAAGTAATGTCAAACTCGTTCTCAAGTGGACTCCCTGCAGTACTGGGCAAAATACTACTATTTGCAATAGACAATAGGCTACATCTCGCGACCATTGTTCAATTTATTCCGTAGAATCGATATTTCAAGGATATCCACATCACGCAGTAAACATTAAAGTAACTAAAAGGAAATCGATATCTCATAAACGGCATTGCAGAGGATTTATTTCGAATCACTTTTAGGGTGCTTCGAAGTACTCGAGAGTAGCAAGCTAGATATGTCATTTCAAGTTATTTTTTAGGAATTCGTAGAGAGATCAGTTAGTTGTTTCAATGTTTCCTACGTGAGACGACGGATGTAAAATACATGTCTTGGTGGTTATAGGTGTTCGAATTACTACTTGAAAAATAGTTCGATTAGAAGCAATGCCCAGCACTGGCGCACCGTTCCTCTCGGATCTGGATATACAGGGTGTCATTAATTGTACGTAAAACCGTCCAGGGACGGTGTGCATCGGAAGAGGAACGACGTGCGTCTCCTCGCACAATATAAAACCGAACAGTATTAGGCAGAGAGGTGTAAGGGGACTTTGAAACGTTTCATACTTTTACAAAATGTTCCTAAGCCCGCCAGCGCTCGCAAGCGAACATTTACTACGTATAGAAATCATCTAAATGTACGATAAGATCAGTGAAAAAATCATGTACGCGCCAACATGGTCGTTGAAACATCCAAGGGGACGATAACCTTAAAATGAATAACGATAATCGCTTAAAAATTGTATACTTTAAGTTTTACACTTTTCCATAAGCACTTACTACTCAATCCGAGCATGACAATTCCGAGTTTAAGAGTATATATTTGCGGGATTATTTATTGAACGTATTGTATTCGTAATTTTAGTGTAGTGGAATATTAAGGCCGAAACTGGGTTTGAATCTAAAATATATTTATTATATTTCGAGGGGGAGAGAAAAATCGTTGGTGTTAGGAACACCTGAGACTAATCTTGAGGAGGAATTAGTAAGATTGTAATTTTAGTATTTCTTTAATGGTCCTCGAGGGGTGTTTCAATAGCTATGTTGGGAACGATTGTATGCAACTGGCGACTGGTATATTATGATATTAATTACCTTCGAGAAACGTTGAGCGGGTTATCTAATCGGGCAGTGAAATCAATCGCTAGGTGTTAATCAAAGCTTGTGCACTACATTATGTTGACATAATGATGTATATCAAGTCGGTTTATTTTTAAAGGTAGCGGAGAGAGACGGAGGAATTTTCCTCGGCGAACCTAGAAAATTAATGTAAATAGCGCAGCGCCTGTGCGATACTGTTAATTTAATGGTAAGTGCGGTGCTATCGGTCATAGATTCTCGAATGTTCCAATCGTCAATTAAAGTTATATGAAAGGGTTATTCTATATACGTCAAAATATTTATAAAACTTCTCCAAACTGGATGCACTGAATTGGTGGGAACTTCAGCATGTGATTATGGAAGCCCTAAAGAAGAATGTAGTGCTTGTGAAGCTTCATTTTTAAGAACAAATTTTTTTTATCTAACCCAGACTAGAACCAAGAATTTATTTTTTTTGTTGATAAATGAAATATCACGAGCACCACGTTCTTCTTTAGGGCCTTCATAATCACCTGCTGAAGTTTCAAATGATTCGGTGCACCCTGTTTCGAGAAAAGTTTTATTAATATTTCTACTTTTCATGTATATAAAATGACCCTTTCATATCAGCTTAAAAGATTGGTTCCCAAAGTGGCTACTTCTCGACACGCTATGTAGATTATGAGAATTCGTCTCTGTGTACCTCGTAAAGTTCTTCGGCGAGTTTCATCGCAAGACTGCCCTAAGTCCACTCGAAGCTTCTTCACTATCGGTGGCCTTCTTTCTCCTCATTTGAATTTCCCTTCTTTGCTCACCTGCATGTTATTCAGTTATATTTCCTCTCTCTACATTTTATTTAACTTGGCTATATCCGTTACAACCATTCGACTCCCAATTTGCAACCATAATATATATTGCTCTTCGCTCTTCGTCTCATCTTGTGTCGTCCATCCTTTGAATCTCATCCACGCAGCAGTCATACTGTCGTGTTTACACATTATTGTGTACGCATATAAATAAAAATATATATTATATACATATGTAATTTAACAGATATATATATATATATATATACATATAATTTTTGGTTGTACAGATCTGAACATTATTTTATAAATATTATATTTTATATATAATTATATTGCATTTGTCGTGTAATATGAAATCTTCCACACCGATGTCATGTTGAGACTGGGATAGTTGAAACCTGGATAAAACCTATGGGATGGGATTTCCAAAGATTCTGAATCTTATGCATAGGTTTTGACGATATCAAAGTGTCAAAGCAGAGGAAATAAGGCTGCGCAGAAGTGAACTGCTAAAGTGTATCAAGGAAGTGTTAATAAATATGTGTAAGAAAATCAAGTCGACCAAGCAACATTGTTCGATTAACTAAACAACACATCTCTAGCATTACTAATTATGCATTCTTAAAACAAACTTATTTTACAAAATTGGAATGCACTTCCCATTTCAAGGAGCTGTAGAAATTTATAATTTAACGTTTGTGCACAGACCTTAAAATTCATTGTATCTGGATTGAAGCTATATCATAGTTTGTAGTTGTTTGTTCTTGATATTTGGATGAAAGTTTATATTTCTGTGCATCTTGTTTACCCTGAGTGATTAAAAAAAGCACATTGCATGTTTTTCTAATTTCTTCTCCTGTTAAAATACTATTAGGTATATTTTAGACACTACAACTAAGAGCCACAGTTAAAAAGTCCTCAAATGAAATAGAAATCGTTCCAGTTTGATCCGAGTCTCTTACTCGAAAGGCATCTGTAATTATAAAAATATATGAAATGTTCTAATTATTCTAAATGATGATTTTCAAAAAGTAATTTGAATATTATACCTGTAAACCTCTGAACTTGTACGCAGAGGACTATAAATTGGTCAATGGTTATGCTTTCATGGTTGCTTAGATCACTTTTCTGTATCAGAAACTTGATAAATTCAGGGCTGAATCGGTAGCCCATTTGTGTCAGAGCTGCGGACAGTTCATTTTCTTGAATGGTACCAGAATTATCACGATCGTAACCCCGGAAAACACCAAGCCATGCATTTATATAATTATACAATGCTTGAAACTGAATGATGTCTATGGTGCCAGTTTTATCCTTATCAAACATACCTGTTGGAAAACAGAATTTATAAGTAACGACACAACCTATGCGATTAATTTTAAATAACTTACTGATCATAAGTTTGCAGGCGGTATCTGAAAAGTAACCGCCCTGTCCATTGGCCAAAGCAGCTCGTAGTTCAGAAGCTGTAATCTTTCCACTGCCGTCTCGATCAACCGCAGCGAACCATTGTTGAACCTCAGGATTAACTTGAGGTGCATCGCCAGGCATGCCGTACATCGAACCCTGGATATTTCCCAAGTTCTAATGTTTCAGTACAAAAGAAAGAAAGAAGAGGAAGAAACGTGAAACTAAAAAAAATACGACAGTAAAACAAGAACAGAAAATAGACATTGATAAAGGAAATTAAAATTCATAATATTTGATAAACATAGTAGGCCATTGTAAGTATCAACGTTCACCTAAAAATAAACGCAAAAATGTAGAAGAATTGCACATATGTATGGACATACCGGATAAGCCATTATACTCCAATTAGGTTTGTAGATTTTACAATAGAGGTTAATAGGCTTCTAATATTACGCAGGTTTGAGAATTACGCCTGAGGGCAGTTTTTTTTTCCAATTCAGGTCTGAAATAAAAATAAACTATTATTCGAACGCTTCTAAACAGGTATTCGTTACGAACGTTTTAAAGGATACGGAGCTTTATTGACAAGGTGGCGCCATCTCGCGGTGCGCAGTGGAATCTACGGCGAGATTTCTCTTTTTTCTCTCTCTTTGTTTAGACGAGTGGAGTAAATTGTTAGTGACGGCTGGCGAACTGGCGAAGGGAAAAGGTTTCGTGTAGGTGAATTTTCTCATCTGTTGTCTACGTCCTGCGACGTGGAGGTTCCGGGAAAAGTCCGGCAAAATTAATTAGTCTTGGATTGGTGTTTCGGGTACAAAGATTGCAGATAAGGAGTCGAGTATAGGAGGCACCATTCGAAGAACGACAAACACTTAGGTGCAATGGGTCTGATCTGCTCCACGGCACAGGTGATACTTTTTAACAACACGGATGTTTCCTTCTAATATAAACCTGTGAATTCACGGATTATTGGAAATATCAATCTTTATTAGGCGCTCTTTATCATACAATCAGTTTGCAATGCCCTTCTGCAGTTCTTACGTACGACTATTTTTTTTAACTCGGGCACGGTGATTCATATGCGCGATGTGTCAAGTAGATTTCCCCTTCACTTATACTTCTTTCTTTCATACTTCTCTACTGTTTTTAAATACCTAATTATTAATTATGTAAACAAATTATCAATACTATTATCTGCATTTTATTCTATTTTATTCCCACGAGGTTTAAATCTCGTGGTGGTAAATAATGCGAAAATTAAGAAAGGCATCGAGGTGAATGGATGTGAAACCTTTTCATTGTTTAAAACTTTAAGTATAAATCAGGTTGATGACTCACTCTTTAGGTACTGACGATTGGATATTCGAGCAACGTCTCTAATTAAAACAATTGTTCTCGATTGCTTGATATAATGGAATTTATTTCCTCCCAGCTCGCATGCCTGTGCGGCAGCACAGCCTGCAGTTTCTGCTGCTCCCAGTGTCCAACATGTCGAAACAGTACGAGCACTCGGATTATGTACGCTCTTCTTTTGATGCTGGGTACGATCGCTGCTTGTTTCACTCTGCTTCCTAGTCTTCAAGGAGCTCTCCAAAAGGTACTTATGATATGGCTTAAACAAAAAGTTAGTGACGTTTTTCTAACATTTTTATTGCATTTGACCAGGTACCATTCTGTAAGAACAGCACCAACTATGTCCCGTCAACGTTTACGGTGGATTGCCAATCTGCTGTCGGTTACCTCGCGGTCTATAGGATATGCTTTATCTTGGCTCTGTTTTTCTTCCTGATGTCTCTTATCATGATGAAAGTTCGAAGTTCAAAGGATCCTAGAGCTCCAATACAAAATGGGTGAGAATTAATGTTTCTTACAGTACAACAGATGAAGAATTCCCATTTAATCAATTTTATTCATTTCTAGTTTCTGGGCAATAAAATATCTTCTTATAATTGGCGGAATGGTTGGAGCCTTCTTTATTCCAGAAGGCTCTTTCGGTCCCACTTGGATGTACTTTGGCATGATTGGTGGTTTCTTATTTATACTTATTCAGTTAATTTTGATAATTGATTTTGCTCACTCTTGGGCCAATGCTTGGGTTGGTCATTACGAGGAAACCGAATCTAGAGGCTGGTAAGCATCTTGACGTAAATAAGTATTTCCATTGTAAATGCTTCATCCCATTTGATTAATTTCTTTCTTTCCAGGTTTGCAGCTCTATTAGGAGTAACGTTTTTGAGCTATGCTGTCTTCATAATTGGAATTGTTTTGCTTTATATTGGATTTACTTTGGTAAGTTAATTAGGAAGTGAACGTAATTATATTTCTGGGTATTAGCATAAATTCTATTTTTTTTTACTGTATTTTCTTTCCACAGCCACATGATTGTTCTCTAAACAAGTTCTTCATATCGTTCAACTTGATTCTGTGTGTTATTGCTAGTGCGATATCAATTTCACCAAGTGTACAGGAACGTCAACCTCGCTGCGGTCTTTTACAGTCATCTATCGTTTCTCTCTATGTAGTTTACCTAACATGGAGCGGTGTTTCAAATAGTCCAGGTATGCATCCACTAATCACCAGTTGTTAATTATTAAGAGCATGACAATTGGAAAAAAAACTAATTCTGATGTTTTCAGATCACGAGTGCAACCCGGGATTTCTTGGAATCATTTCTGGAAACGATGTAAAGACCCAAAACAGAATGGCATTCGATGGAGAAAGCGTTGTTGGTTTGATTATTTGGTTCGGTTGCGTTTTGTACAGCTCTTTACGAACAGCATCCAAGTCGTCGAAAATTACAATGTCTGAGAACGTTCTTGTAAAAGATAACGGAGCTGGTAAGTTTTTTTTTTTGTTTAAACATTGATCATGTCGATTTGTTTCCTTTTCGTTTAGTTAGATAATTCTTTCTTGTGAATGTTAACGGTTTGCCTCATTGCCATCATTAATGTAACTTTCAATCGATACACTTAATCTTCAGCTTGAGCATCGATTCTCTCATTATAAAGTAGATTAGAGAAGTCTTTGACGGTAACTTGCTGCTTTTGTTTATGCAGTAAGGAATCCGGGAGACCAGTCCTTGATTGGCGGTGAAGGTACGCTCGCAACATTGATATGACTAATACATACTGGAGTTTCATTCGCTGTGATGATTTGAGTATTTATTAATACCTTCGCTAACTGTTCCTTGCGTACGATTTAAATCGACGTATTTTTCCTTTGACTTCAATGTGTAATTACACAGATCATTTGAACGAACCACAAAATTACATATTGAACATAGGGAATAACAGAACATCCATTTCTACGAGATAAAAATAATTGTATAATGGATGAAAGATATTTTTATCAATGACTAACATTACATCGTCAGAAAGTCAGCAATTGTTTAACTTATTTGCATGACTTTGTCGTAATCTTTATTATATGTCTTTACCGTTGTCGAATATTTTCACTGGTGGTGAAGTAGTTCAAGTTTCTGTTCCTTTGATTTCCTAGTCTCTTGTCATTCGTAATTAGATTATGTTTCAGTGGAAGGACGAAATGATGATGCCGAAGAAGGGCGTGAGACCAAAGTTTGGGATAACGAAGAAGATACCGTTGCATACAACTGGAGCTTCTTCCATGTCATGTTCGCTCTTGCTACATTATACGTAATGATGACATTGACCAATTGGTACAAGTAAGTAGACTTGTCTTTTAATTTCATTTGTTGTCCTTCGACAGCTCAATGAGACCACTTAATTTCCAATTATAGACCGAACTCTTCCCTCGAGACTTTAAATTCCAATGCAGCATCGATGTGGGTTAAAATAATCTCATCGTGGATGTGCTTATCACTGTACGTGTGGACTCTGGTGGCTCCTGTTTTGTTCCCTAATCGTGACTTTTCCTAAGTCTCCTCGTTGTTCTGGAAAGTGTTACCTTCAAGCTCCAAAGCAGATAACCCTTTTCCCTCGAAATTTATACATTTCGACAGAAAACGTAAAAGAGTAGGATTAACCAAAAAACAAGAGCAACCCAAACGTTTCTCTTAGGCTTGTTCAAACAGTCCTGAATATAATATTTATCGCCGATACATGGAAACCTTGTAGTGTATTTGTCAACTTAGTTCTAAGTATCTGAGATTAAAAAGCATACGTACGATTGTTAATGCAGGTGCCGGCATGTTAGGATTTCTCAGATTCGGTCAAAATTCTTGTGCTGTACTCTGTAATTCCGTACACGCTCTTTATTCACGCCATAGATGTGATTATAATTAAATTGCTGGGTTGGAGCTAAGGTTGTGGCATTGTAGCGTCTACTTAACCTTGAAACACGGTACATCCTAATAAAAAAAAAATAGGAGTACAATATTTTATTTTCTGCCTGAAAAAAGAAAAACGTTCGCAGATTGTGGCAACTCATAATTATGGGACTATTGCGTTTCTGTGATATTGATTTTGTTTTCTTTAATGGTTCGACTAGACGTATGTGCAAGTGTCACATTATAAGTGTATTAAATATTTCTTCTTCAACCACAGCGTTGAGCATTGAGCATTGCATGAATTAAATCCGTTGTTACATAAATATTAATATTAAGATTATTTTCTCTATTCGCTTCATGTTTCTCAAGTTTAATCAACCCATAAGTCCCAAGGAAACCTATAGATGTTTTGACTTAAATGTGAGCTGCATTTATAAGAACAGTGCACGTGGAATATTGTAGTAGCTCGTTTCCATGCGGTTATTATTAAACATTAACAAGAAATCGAGTGTACTACATTATTACAACAGCTTATGTACCGCATTGAAAATAATCATGTATATTTTATGTAAATTGGAGACGAAATTTTGGAGTTTGTGTTATTTCGTCGTCCGATAGCTACTGGCAACTCGGGGAGATGTTACTCTCTGTATTCCCCATAATGTAATAGCTCCTGATCTATTAAATGAATTCGTAATGGTAAAAAAAAGTGCCTTTATTACTTTATTATTATACGCTTTTGCATGTGAAACATTCAATGATTTGTAATGGTTGTTTTCTTAACATAGATTTCCGAGTGTAATATACAATAGTACATGTGCTCCCGAAACGCGTTTATAAATGTTTATCGATGATTAAGGTTCATCGAGTCAAAAGCAAAAAGCAGTACCATTTTTTTTCAGGAGTCCTTACCTTTAACCGTCCTTTAAGAGTCTTCGAAGGTAAATTTCTTGAGCAAAATCTAAAGAGCTCATTCATTGACAGAAAATTAGAGGAATAATTTATTACCTGAGAGATTTTCATTCAAGGAGAGATTGATACTCTGTAAAAAATATTTATTTACATTCCTCTTGACTATCCGACATGACAATACGACCTGTGTCATATTGTCGTGTCATATGACATATCCTAGGCTCTGTATATGTTTAACATACATTTAAAAAAAATCACCTCGGACTCTAAATCGATATACGCAAAGAATGGTACCAAAGCGTGGAGCAGCCTCATTTTAAGTTAAAACTAGAAATTCATCTCTTAAGCGTCTACATTAGTCGTAATTACGGTATTACGTCGTTTGTGTCAATCTTTCGAATAAATATTAAGGCATTAATCGCAGGTTGGCCTTAAACGCGAAAGGATTAGTCTTCGAGTCTGTCATTGAGATTGCATTCAAAGGAGGAAGAATTATTTACAAAGAATAGACACAGAAAAGTAGAACTCACATAAATACGTACTTGACCCTCGTATACATTGTATACGAGGGCAAGCGACAGGGTAAATCCCTTTGGTCCTTTAAAAAATTGGTAAAAATCGAGGTTATATTTACAACGTCTAATACGAGATATCCGTCAGTGGTCCCGAATCTGGAAGCTCGCAAAAACATTTTAATCCACTTTGGAAGCCTTAATCGACGGCTGCGACCGCTTCTCCTTTTTCAGCAAGTGGTTCTTGATATTTTGGAACGGCGTGTCGAAGAGCAACGTCAGGACCATCGAGGTTAGAATGATCCACAGCAACTCCTTCAAGTTGAACTGCAAAAAAAATAAACGTGTGTCGCGATTATTTTTTTCGCTATACATGCCAGTAATTCAGGGTAAACAAATGCATACCAGCATTCGGAAGAACTCGTAGTACTCCGCACTGCGCGTTTGGCCGACATTGTAGAAGAAAACTGGGAATTGCGTTAAATAAATCGCGTAACTGAGTCTTGTCGAGACAAGAAATCCTTTCCAAGCGAAGATCCTGCTTATCAGTCCTGTGGAACAGATAACAAATGAATTACAAATCTCATGTATCGAGTTGTTGGAAAAGCTCGTCTCGTTTTCGGCGCTAAATAGCACTGCAAATTGCATCAACCCAATAATTTTATTTGAACAAACAGAAATTAAAGGCCCCAGTAACCTTGAGTGCATGATCCGTCAAAAAATGACCCATTGACACATTTCGTGAATATCTAATTTCTTTCAGTGCTAGTTTTTGCTGGGAAACGTCATTCGTTTCGAAAAATACCGGCTGTGAATTTCAGGCGAATTCCTCGCCTCTGATGTTACAATTCAAGATGGCCGACTTACGGTTGCCGTAATCCAAACCATGGAACCTAAATTACAGATTTCTTAAATGCACTCTTATTTTCAGGAACTCACCATCCGCGTTTCCAGTATGCGACAAAAATGCCATCCAGGCGAAAAGTGCACACCAACCAATGGGTGCAAAAGCGTTGTACGTTGCAGCATGCACCGGTTGATATACGTAATCAATGGCACCCATTTTTGCAGGGCCGAAGAAAGCTCCCAAAGACATCACGATACATAGAGTCCATCCTGCATAGACCACCGCCTGAAGAGATGATTTCATAGTCAGTTTCCAGTTTACAATGGCGCAGTATCTTCATTTTTTATTTTCTAAACCGCAATCACGTCCTTACCCCGTTCATCTTGAAACCCTTTGGACAAGTCCTTAACAAATATCCTGCGAAGATGCCCATGATGTACACCGTGAGTCTATGCGTTGGCAGGATGTAAGAAAGGTTGGCAGTGTCGAAGAGCTGCTTAATTCTGTAAGTCAAAGAGGAGATAATAATAAATTATGCGACAATTGGCTGCATGGATAAAATTATGAATCTTAAGGGCTTAGGGTGTCATGAAAGTGGCGTCTTGTGAAGCTTTTCTTTGAACTCGATAAATACGATTCGTTTGAAATCTAGCCAAATGAATATGGGTGCCCTAAGGAAGGTCCCGACATCCAGAAGATTCCATTCTTTTAAATTTGTTTATAAACATTGTAAACATTTTATGGGCGTTACGACTTTCCTTAGAGCCTTCACAAGCAGGTGGTAAAATATCAAATGATTCGGTTTGTTCTATTTGAAGAAAAGTGCCATGAAAGATTGACTCCTCGGACGTCGCTTTCATATCACCTTAAGGTATTCTATCGGGCAACTTACGACGTGCCGAAGAAAACGTAATTATTCAGTCGTTTCATGTAGGTAACGCGATATCGAAGTATCGTGGAAATTGTCGCCAAAGAGGTGAGGAAGAAACCTCCAAGTTTGGGCTTCTTCCAGAGGAGGATCACCAACAATGGCGAGATGGCGAAGAGCTGAGTGTCGATGCCCAGGTGATGGGTATGCGTCAGGCACTGTCCAGAAATTTGACAATAACTACGTACTCGTCCCATATGTAGAGACAATTAAGTGTATATTTCTAGGAAAGTACCATATTCTCGAACCCGAAGTAATTGTGGATGAAGAGGAAGTTCCTCCACCAGGTTTTCTTGCAAATGTCCGCGTGATGAGTCACCACCAGGTTCCATTGAGGGCCAGACCCGATGAAAGGCATCACGTACGTGCAGAAGAGGATCAGGGCTCCCAAGGTCGGCACCAATCTGTTGGATCAGGTAGGATTAAATAATCAGGCTCTAAAAATACAATATCGGGGAAGACTTTTAATTACCTGAGCAACCTGGATAGGTATTCCTGTTTGACGTCCAATTTGCCGGTCTTCTCGAGTCTCCCAACGAACGAGTATGTCGTCAACAATCCGGAAAGCATGATGAAGGGATCCGTGTAGAGGCTGGCCGCTCTTCCTATCACGGTCCATGGTTTCCCAAGATACTGCGACGAGGAATGACAATTAACGTGATGATTATACGAGTATGATTATTTATTCACTCAGGAAATCATGGATTTTAACGCTCGAAGTTACGTGGAGATCAGCTAGAAATCGCAAGCAGAAATCACTTGAAATCGTTGAAAACCATCGAAACTTTGTCACAACTTTTAAGGTGATACGAAAGAATAGTTTAAATCTTTACAACGCGAATACGGAGGCGATAAGAAATGTCCTGACGCCCATGAAATTTCAAATAAAAAAAAAATTGTTTATGGACATTTTCAAAATTGTTTATAAAATATAAAACTTTATGAGTGTTAGGACCTTCCTTACAGCCCCCACATTCACGTTGTAAAATTTTAAACGAATCGGTACGCCCCGTTCGAAGAAAAGTTTCACGAAAGATTGACCTCTCTGATGCCACTTTCCTGCACCTTCGATCGTCACTTGTTACTGAATCATATTGCGAAAGGAGTCCCTCGGGTTAGACTTTAATTCTTTATCTTCATGTTGTATTTTTAAATTATAATTGTCTCAAATGTCGCATAGATTACCTCCGTCATGGCTGTCCTGTTTACGTAAGGGTTGAAGAAGAGGGCCATGCTCTTGTGAGCCAGGATCAACATTAAGGCGTTTAATGCCCTGACCCCGTGGAGGGTCGCGATGTCGCTTTCGCTCCTGTTTAAGGAGAAAAGCTGCTTCAGGTTCCTTTTCAAGGAGAACGATAAGAAGATCTTGTTCGCCGGAAGCTCCAGGTGGTCGTAGACTGCAGCTACGAGGCACAGGATGAGGACGCCGATGAAGAAGAGGCTGCATGTTTAGAATTTATTATACATTTATTAAAATTCTTATGGCGCGATGATATAAAAATAATGTATGTTCACATGTCATGAAATGGACCCGTCTCAGAAAGTGAAACCTTTTGATGAATTTTCATGCTCGTGGATGTCATGCGTTGGTTTTTCTTGTTTATGCGGACTGAAATTAAGTATTAATTTATAGGAATTTATTTACCCTACGACTACGGTCTCTGTCGGCAAAGGCTCGATCCTGCGAACCTGGCACATCTCCTTGTCAACTCGAACCGTAATTTTCAAGCCGGTGTTGGCAGTGTGTTTAGACACGACATGTCGAAGAGACGCCTCCACGTCGCGAGACGTACATGAAGACGGAGCACATACCGCCCAATTCACTGTACTGAATCTCGGTACCCGATGGCCAGGCTGAAAATTAAAACGGAATCTCACTTAATTTATTACGTCAAAGATTTATAAGTAACAACCGAAGCGATTATAATTTTAGGGGGCGCAAGATTTTACATCAACGACAGGAGAGGCTTGAGCGGAGAGTAATTGTTGGAGAACCAACGACACTATCATAGAATACAATTTTTTGTTCTTAGATAATATTAAGCTTTCCAGAAAGGTTATTAAAGTGTCTGCGGCTTAAACCGTTATTGTCATCTGTAATGATAAAATCGATCAATCATGATCAATCCGTACCTCATTATCTCTGTAATATCACATTCGGCATTTATGTTAGCTTAAAGAAAATTGTAATATAATGTTACATTTAGTGTAACAGTAAAAGTGCCCTAACACGGTAAATATATACAATATTACATGAATTTATACATTTTCTAATCCGCCATTTTTTACATTTTACTTTTTTCTATACGAAACTTCATTTATGAGGTGCGAAGAAATGTATGTAAATTTCCGTCGATTTTTACCAATGTCTTTTAGGAAAACCTCGTTTGAATGAAAAGTCAAACTGGGGGGAAGAAAACTAACCGGAGAACAGGAATATATCCGGAAGTCGACGGACAAGGACATTGTCGAGGAGCGTCTTCGAACGCGCGGAAAGTCACGTTTACTAAAGATCGGCGCGCCCAGATTTACATAAGCATAATTAGAAGTGATTAGGCGATCACATTCGTTTGATCTCACGTTAGCACGGCTGCGTAGTCGAGCTTGTCGTATCGTTTATGGAAATTCAGACAGGGCGACCATGAATCGAAAAAGAGCAATTTCGGTAACCATCTCTTCATCATCATCTCTTCGAGATGATCCCTGGTTTTCATATCTCTCACACTTCCTCTTAAACCAGGATTTACACAACCCTAACGGCTTTTGAACTTTACATTTTTTTTTATAAATTTTAATATGGAGATATAAAGAGTCTAGTACCGATTTCTTGGAATGACCTAACCGTTCGTCTTCCCACTTTCCTTGTTCCTTTTGAGTTTCAAGGGGACAAGAGAAACAAGAAAACAGGGAAGAAGAGGAGTGGCAACCGGAATCGCATTTGTTAGGAATGTCACTGGGATGTCTCAGGAATGTCGAATTCGAAGACACGTGCGATGAGGAAGAGAACCGATTTTTCTTTCTTTTCATCTCAGGACCTGATTGGGACTGATTGATTTCCACGACTTGCTTTCATTCCACCTCCCTTTGAAAATAGAAATAAGAAAGTTAAGTGATATAGAGTTCGTTCATATGTTCAGGATATTCGGTCTAACTCCTAAAACGTGTAAAAAATGAATTGGCGAAAAAAAATATTAGCATAGGGAACGTGAAGGCTTCAACTAGAAAGGTGAATGATAAATGCATTAGTTATAAATAATTAAATAAAATAGGAATAAATATAAAAGTGAGGCGTGTCGTCGCTGTATTATCAAGAGAGAAGTTCAGGGACCTCTTTCGAGCACGTCTCTTTACTCTAATTATTGCTCCATCAGACAATTAATTTTCTTTCAGCGACCAATGCAGCTAAACTTACACAAGTTTAGACTAGACATTGTATCAAAATATATGAGCGGTGGCATATTTGGCACATTGCCAGTGGAACGGAGAAATATAATTTTTAATTATACTTTAGAGCCGGAAATAATTTAGATAATTGCAGGATTGTGGGATACGGTGTAAGGATTCAGCGCCAAAAATCAGGGGCTGATAACAGGATCCGGTCGCCTTGAACTTAGTTTCCTGGTAAGATCAGGTGGATTAGGTGGAGATACAAAGCAAGGCCAACCTCTTGGCTAATTTGCAAATTCCCACCGGTACATATTCGACCAGTTTAGCTCGTTAATGACAATAACGACCAATCGCTCGTCCGAAGCCGTTCCGAAAGACCGTTGTTCCTAATCTATGGCCATCTCGAAGCCAAATTTGCTTCTACCGAGCCAGAAAAACCAGTTTAGGACTTTAAACGGGTTTTGCGATTTTTACAGTTCTTGTCGATGTTTCAAGGCATCTTCTAAATGGCTCCGAGGTGCTAATGAAGCATCTACACGTGAAGGGTTCGATGTCTGGTCTTCTGGACTTTTTCTTCCAAAGTCTGCTCAATGCTTCTTTTATAATGCGTTACTGCAGCACTTCCTGTTTTTCCAGGCGAATCTTGTCCTCTTCGGTTATTTAATTTTACGAAAAACTGTAAGCTTGTCAGTTTCACGGTGCACCTGTTTCTTCTTGGATTAAAGAAAATTGGATTACAGAAGGATAATTAAATGCCCAAACGTGAAGGATTCAATATTTCTCTTGTAATGGGTTACTCTTGCACTTTTTCTTCTTCCAGTAGAATTTTCTTCATATTGATCATTTAACTTCGAGAAGGACTTAAGCTTTTGTTCCCTTGTCTTTCAATTGTTCAGCCTTGCTTCGATGACGTCGACTGGCTTCTAGACAGTCAATTGGTATGCCATTCGCGATGACAAAAGAGACGTCAACGGGAAATGTCTTTCACGAAATCCAGCGCAGGGAATCCCTGAAGAGGAACGCTTGTTGATTTTCGATCGAAATGATTCTGGGCTTCCAGCTCGAGCAGATCGTGAGAGGAATTTCAAAATAGCTCGCCATATCGGGAATTCGATCGAAAATCGTCTCGCGACTGCGAATGCATAAAGGTCGACCTTCGGATTATCCATTAATAATTCCTCTACATCCGCCCTGGCATTTTGCTCCCACGTCGTGTAAGAATCCCCTCCACCTTTTCTGAAAAAGACTTGCGGATCCAGGGAGAGGCCATGAAGCTGAAGACAGGAGAAGACAATCGACGAAAGGATAGGTGAATGCAAGGACGAATGAGATGACATAGGTGCGTCTGAAAAGAAAATAGGATTTACGTAGCTTTGTATGAACGCTAAGGACGGGAAGCTGAATTATGAAGCTCCTTGCGAAACGGAAATGGAAATCCCAGGGATTCGCTGACGAGTTTCGTCGAGGTACTTAAATTACCTGTAACTCAGAGAATAGAAGCACCTCCCAGGCTGCCTCGTGTTATAAAAAGGTAATTTTTCATAGGATTACCAGCATATAAATTATATGCGAAATTATCGCCCACTGTCAAGATGTAAGTACCGTCAGGTGTGCACGGAGTCCATTGTGTGAAGTCAGCTAGGCAAGACTGACGTAAGTGGATATTTCTGGATTTTAATTAGTAAATCAAAATTAGATCCGGGAATTAAAAAGAAGAAAATATACTTGCGCCTCCGTAGTATCGTTTTTAGATGGAATTATTTTCCCTTAAAACCCATTTAACTGACATGACAAATTTGGTTAATAATTACAAATTTTCGTCCATTCCATTAAGCATCCTGGTGGATCCCACGAAATCATCAAGTACAAACATTTGATTTGTTATCAAAAATATTTGGTTAAAATCAACGAAACGATCGAAGCGAAAATTGTTTGGCCGAGTATCCCAAAATTCGGTCCAACTGAAACGTTTCCTGAAACGTTCAAAATGCAGTCAATCGACTTTGTTCAACGAACCGATTTTTTACTTTTTTTTTCACGAGAAATTAAAACTATCCTTACGAGTCCGCAATTGAAGTTCACTTAGGAGGGGAAATTTCTGAAGTGTAGAATTCATCGAATATGATTCGGTATTAATAGTTTCGCACGTGGTGCCCACTTTTCGCAAAGTGGGCAGTTTCGAAGGACGTTTCCGAGGTACTCACGTCCGTCATGTTGCTCCTGAAGGCATAATGAGAATGAAGCAGTTTGTGGAGGTGCTCCAGGTCGGGTCGAGACCGGTCGACGTCCAATTGCAAATAAGCCAGGCAATATCGTCCCCGGATGTCGTCGACCCCTTCAACGGAGACGCACTCGTCGTAGTCGCCCAGCTGATTCACGTTCCCATTGAGCAGTCCCGAGGGGATCTTCGCGGTGGCATCGTACACTGAAACCAGGAGAGGTTCATTATTCATCAAAGAATTTCCTCACGTTGGACTTCGCTCCTCCGGGAATCCCCCTAGCAAAAAGTCGCTTCCACCGAATAATCACTAAGTGAAATACATGTGAAATACAATGCATTCGCATTTTGAAAATACAATTTCTTTTTTTTTTCTCGATTAAGAGCAAACGCATCGAAAATCTATCGCGCAAAATTCCTGTAGATATTATTTTCATCACGTTTACGTATATAAAACGTGCGTTTTATTTTTTTTGTCTTTATTGGACAGGCAACGGTGAACAGTGAAATAGACCGTAGATCCTGAATGCGAAATGCCTTCGAATTCAATTTAATTCAACGAAACGCGACTTACGTAATTCGACCTCGAATTCGCGGAAAGAAAGGACTAGCGGATCGTCAGACGTGTCTTAGAAATTTGGATGAATTTATTTGCCTTTTCTTTAAGTCCTTTCTTCCCGCGTATTTTTTGTTTGGTCCACCCATCTGAATTCCGACCGCAGCTTAGGATGCTTAACCTCGAAGAGAAAACACTGCGGTTACTGTAATTTATGATAATGACACCGAGGATTAACCAATTGTGGTCGTTTTAATGTCATTATTCTCTTAAGAAATGATTCTTCCCCCACAGGTGCATGAACGAGTCCACATCGGAAACTGACAGTCTACACTGTTAAAAAATATTCATAAAATTCATAAACCTTTACTTCATAACACCATAAAAAGAATATGAAAAATAGCCGTCTTAAAAGTGAATTGGTTTAGATTTATTACAAAGTGTCAATCAACATATCTCATAACATCACGCTGGAATTTAAATTTAAATTTCGTTATAAAATTACACTCGTGTACTAAATTTATAACGCATGTTTAGAAAATATATTAATAAGGTTGATCATTGTTATGAAATTAGTACCCCATGTCTGAATAGTACCGGTCATCACATGCTTAATAACCAATATTTTTCTTAACGGGTTAATGAAGGACACTGTGAGTGATATAATGAAAGTGCAAGTGGAATATTCATTATAGACTATGATGCACAGTTCTAGTCTAACGGGACGCGTAATCGGCGCATTTGCATCGCAATGCGGAATTATTTGCAAGGACTTACTCTTAAGCGCCCAGAGAGTGAACTTGGAAAGCTCTCTATGAAAAATGGCGGCATGCCTCTTGCACTCGGAACTCACGGGTCCAGCTCCAGGATCATAGGCAGGAATGATTTCCAGCAGTTTCCGGGACTCCCGGTCGATTTCCTCCGCAAAGGCGTCTGAAAATTGATAAGAGTTCAACGCGAGTTCGTGGCCGATCGGCGATCGCTGATCGATGGGCCGGACACGATCTCTAACATGACGCGCACATCGCGATGACAACGTAAGACCTCATTGAAAGTCTCGACAGGTCGTTTCGACATTTTCGTTTCTCTTTCGATCGCGGCGCGACGTCCCGATTAACATCTCCGCTGCGTCGAGGGACGTGCGAATAAAAAATACCGCTTCTCGATCTTTCTCCACGTTCCGCGATTTTATATCCGACCTGTCGAATTAAATGCCGCGCACGGAACGGATCGGTCCTTACAATGGCATTGCGTCGCTTAAAAACGACATTGAAAATGACGCGTTAAGCTTGAAAGTCATAAAAGTCGCCGTTGACGGTTATTTCTCTCGGCGCGCGCTGACCCGATTTCAAAATCCCGCGGGCTTGTCACGTGACGCAGGCTGCGCGCGCATCGCGAGGAGCAGTAGATAGGAGCAGCGAATGGTTATCGATACGAGTAAGAAAAGGAAACAGGTTTACTACTTGCTTACATTTTCTAATTATTCCTTCGTAATCAGTTAATAATGTTATGTTATTCTCGTAGCAACATTTTCGAGTTGTTATTCGCCTGTGATTTTACATGGATACGCTATGAATATTTATCGTCAGGAGACAAGAAACCAGACCGTATGAATTTCGCAAGTGTAAATCGATTTGCGATTTGTAGATCGCGGCATTATAGATCATTTATCAAAATTGTCAAGAATTCCGGAGATGTGGATCGATTTTTGATTAGGTCGCGACATTTATAGGTCATTTATCCAGGTTTTCCTGGTTAGATCGGGTGTTGGAGCAATCTGGCTCAGCCGGTCCATCCGGTCCGTCGACCGTGAAAACCATCGAATCGCGTTGCGGCCGTCCACCGGTTCTGCGGCCTTATTTCGTCGGCATTGCGTAACATCCTTGAATCGCTTTCGTTTCGCTATTTGCAAAGTGAACCGCGCATGTGCGCGGAGGCGAGTGCACGTATAACGCATGCGCACCGCCGTAGACGCACCTTTTCGATAGCCCCGACATAGAGGGCGAAAATCACGGCGCGCAGAGTTCGAGGCCGCTTCCTTTCTCTCCCCTTCGCAAATTCCAAGCTTTTCCGAGCGTCCCACTCGTTCCAGAATCCGCAGAATCGAGATCGGCAAACCGAGGTAAGTTAAGGTACTCGCTGGATTTGACTTTTCCAAAGTTTCAGGTGTTCAAGCGGAGCTTGGAAAACGAAAACGAGCAGCGTGGCGAATTTACGAGTTGTCGACGTTTCAAGGAGATGCGGCTTTTAGTTTACGTATGTAACCTAAAAGTTGTCCCATTTGTCAGAATCCGCGGGATGGGGAACCGGCGAGACGAGGTAAGTTAGGGTACTCGCCGAATTTGACTTTTTCAAGGTTTCAGGTGTTCAAGAGGAGCTCGGAAACCGAAAGCGAACAGCGTGGCGAATGTACGAGTTCTCGACACTTCAAGGAGACGCGACTTTTAGGTTATGGACAATGCACTATGAAATAAGAAAAGCAAATTCGAAACATCTCCGTTACTTTCACTTTAATATAGTCGAATGATATTTATGTAACCGTAAACGATGAGATAGTTTTATTGAAATGTAATTCATTGAAATAAAGCATTTCCTCTGCCTTTTAGCATTTTCATTTCTTTTCGCCCAATTAGTCTTGCGGTCACATATTGTGAAGTGCAGGAGTAGTGGTGGAAATTACGATTCGAAGACATCAAGAATGCATTCCTTGTCTTGTCGCGATTCTTCTTTTTAAGTCGCAGGTGCATTGCGGTGCATCTTGAGTGAGAATTCCGAATTTTTAAGCCTTTTCGCCGCTTTGTTAGGATTCGAAATTAAGAATCTCGGCAGAGTTTCGCGCCAAAGGTATATATAGGCGTTATTTAATTATACTAGAAAATGAGAATTTGTCTTCAGAGCATCGCGAATGCTAATTGCCGAGTCGGCGTTCGATAACCCGGCGTCGATCAACGGTCGATACATGACCAATAAAAATCAAACTAGAATATAGCTCGTGAGGAAATACTGAAAGTAGTTCTGCACTTGGTGTCCTCGTTGGTGCATTCGGTCGAGCAATGCACCCCGATTTCGCCCTTCACAGGCACTGTTCTACGTGTGAAAGGCTCGACCGCATATTAATTTGTTAGTAATTGGTTAACACTAAAATTTATCAAGCTGCCCTCGGTTTACCGTTGATATTGACTTTTCCATATGCACATAGATATTAATAGCCTCAAGCTTAAACATGATCTAGATTTAGTACAGAACTACTAACGAGTTGTCTCCTCAGGGGTAGAACTGATTTATCCCCGGTTTCTCTGCGTTTGATCATAAATTATTTACGAGAAAACGCGGTTTTAAACAATGTCAAACCTTAACCATGAACTCATTTTCTGTTTATAAATTAAAATTATTTAAAAGATAAGAACAAACCGTATACAATTAATACACTGGCGGCCATTAAAATTGCAACACTAAGAATTGATAAGAGGAAATCAATGACGTTTACAGATTGAATTTCTACAGTTGGGATCAAAATGCTATCATAATATTATTTTTTCTTAAATATACGTGAAATTTTCACATTTCTTCCCTTGACGTGATAAGCTTATTTTTACAAAGTCTGTTGTATTTATCTTAACTATTTCCAGGCGTTGCAATTTTACCGATCAACGGTGTATAAATATTATACCAGTAAGAATAAAATTGCCGAAGAAAAGAAATACCAAAAATGTTGTAAATGTCCAAGAATATAAAATAATAATAATAAGGGAGAGTACCATAGTACGGATTGGTCCAGCTCGATCGAGGTTCATCTTGACGGGGTGCGAAGAGCGGCTCGTCGGTGAGGTTCCCTAGGTTCCCGAGGTTGGGCTTGAAATCGATCAGGGTGAAGTTTTCCGAGAGCTCGGACTCGTTCCTCGCGAGGACGCGGAGGATCTCCTCGTCGTGGAGGGCCCTGGGGGGTCCTGAGGGCAGGATGTCCACGGAGTTCCCGGCGACCGCTAGGTGAACCGCCCAGAGGAGGGCGCCCACCCTCGGCAGCATCTCTGATCTCGATTGCGGAAAATCGGTGGAAAATCGCAAAAGGCGTCCAGGACGAAAATCGAACCCAGACGGGGCTCGATCTCGGGGAAGGCTCAGGAAATCGACATGTCCCGTGCCTCGGACAGGTGCGCGCGTTTGTACGAGGCGATTCACGAATGACCACGGACTCGCCGTGGTGACCATAGGTGTCCACGAAGAGGGGTACCCGATAGCTCCCTCCTCCAGGTCACTGCTAAGTCTCCCCCTCCCTCGGTGCGATCTCAAAAAATGCGCGTCTGCGTGTCCTTCAGGTGCGTGGCCAACGATTCGACGTCGAGGGGGCTTTGCCAACCACCGAGTTCCACTTCGTTTGCCTCTCGAACCGTGAACTTTGATCCGGGTCGGCCTTGACCGGAACTCCGGAAGCTGGGTGTCTCATCTTCACCGCGAGATTCTCGACATATTATAGAAAAACCAATGGTCTCGCGTTTTCTACCGCAAGAATTAACTTCTGATGAAAACTCTTCGTATTTCTCGATCCGTAGATTTATTCTTTCGGTTCATCCAGCGTCCATGACGGCGGCAGCCATTGACCCTGCAGAAGGATTAGTTCCATAAGGAACCCGACTTCTCTAACCTCGAAGATACTCATACCGTTTAATTCTCTCTTCCAGCATAAATCGATTTCTTAACCGCGATCCGCTGTACTCGACCTTTTCCTTTCCTTCGCTTCGAATATTCGAATATTTGTGTAGGTTCCACTTTACTTGACGCGCGACCTTCGACCCGTTAACAGTGTTGATGGAACTGTCCTTGCCGGGGGGACCTCTCGATCTCGGGAAGCTGGCTCTTCCGACGTCGAGTATTCCGAATGTCGAATGCAGGGCTGAGCTGATTTAAATAACTTCATTAAACTCACGATTAAAATCAACAATTTATGTCCTTTTCCAGGAAATCATGATTTTCATCAACCCTGGTCGAATACGGTCAAGATGGCCATCCTTTACTTTACATATTAATCCAAACGCAAGGGATATTGCACTAAAAAGGAAAACCAGTTCTCAATCCATCAGTATCGCGGAAGGATCAAATGTAAGGAAAATAATCTTCGCCGCCCAACAATCTGCATATCAAGAGCGCACTTGCCAACTTCAGCGAAATCGTGACTCGACCGTAAACCCGGACCGTGAGTAATTCGGGTTTTGGTCGAATCATCATGGCTCGAGCCATGTAAATTACCTTCGTGATTCAGCAGACCGTGAAATCTCGGTGCAGTGATTAAAAAGCGATTAACAGAGTCCACCGGTCTCTGGGCGAATGCGCCAAGTCGTCAATGCGTGCACCATGAAGCTACTCGCTTTCCTCCGCCGCCATCTTTGTTGCTTCCCTTGGCGTCGCATCGCGCCGTCTTTCGTCCTCCGCTGTGGATGAATTAATTAATAAAGAAACTCGTTTGCAATTCGTTTGCAATTTGTTTGCAATTCGTTTGCTATTCGTTTGCAAATTTCTGGGTAAATGCGCCAAGTCGTCAATACGTGCACCATGAAGCTAGTCCCTTTTCTCCGCCGCCATCTTTGTTGCTTCCCTTTTCTTCGCGTCGCGTCGTCTTCCGCCCTCCACTGCCGATCGATTAATTAATAAAGAAATTCGTTTGCAAAGACCTAGGCGGTATTCACTCAGGAAATCATGAATTTCAACGTTCGAAATTATGGGGAAATCAGCTGGAAATCGCAGCATTGTAGTTTTTTTATGACATTTTACATGTTTAGAATAATCCTTTCATATCACCTTAACGCGGAAGCTTACACTGCATGGCATAAGTTCTAGTTAAAAAACAAGGGGCGATGGCTTATTTAATATTAAGAGGAATCGAGAAAATCGTCGTTTTATTCGCTCTCTTTAATTTTCGCTATTTTTCCAAGAATATGAAGGGAATCATTACCCCATGCATCTTCTGTCCGTGATTTTGACGACGCCAAGCGACGACCGCCATCTTTGAAGTCGGCGGAAAGGTCGGCATTCGATTGACCAAGATTAATCGTGAATAGTACCGTCAATCGATGATTCGGAATGATTAAGGGGAAGGAGAATGTCCTCGAGGCCACAGAGGGTCGAAGGTTGCAGTTTCGCGGATTATTTAGCAACCAGTTGACGACTTCGCAACCACTTACTAGGTCAGATATTATGTTTAATCAATTCCACTTATGCAATAAATCCATTAAACGAGGTAAGAAATATTACACCTCCGTGGATGAGAGCTAAAATACATTCGTTTTCGCCTTAAAGGAACGACTCACCTCTGGGGTGAATTGAATATTTATAATGCGAGCTCCATTTCTCGATTTTCTGTCGAAATTGCAGCTCGTTGGATTGTTCGAAAATCGGAACGCCTCGTCGAGGGAACTTTCGTTGTATGCAAATATCGTGAGAAGAGGAACGCTCGTCGATCAGCAATGTCTCGACACTTTCCGTCCCCTGATTGACATCTGACAATCGAAGATACTTCGACTCGTGACAACCACGGGATCGATATGGCTGACACACGAAACGCATTAGACGCTGCAGCTCGACGTCGGGATTCTTTTGCAACCTGCGTTTTGCAACGCCCTGTCCATGCTTATCGACGACGGGCTCATCGATTCTTTTAATTTATCGTCGTTGTCGGTCAGCCGAGTGTCGATGAACCTTCCTTTGTATGGGAAGAAAAATGGGAGACCTTAACACGTTACTTCGAGCGATGGCCGTATTTTTTTATTGAAATAACTGTAGCTAATAGAGTGCCCATCTTCGAGGAACAAAAAATGTTCAGAGTGTAGTACCTACCTCAAGCTAATTCGGAGATTTTTATTCTTGAAATAACTGTTAACAGAGTATCCATTAATAAGCAGATATTATGGACCGATTGCAAATACTTCCAGTCGGTCGAATTCTGATAAACGTTATTAATTATTATTATTTATCTGTTTACAAGGAGTCACTCCCTAGGGCAATAATGGATTTTAATCCTCGATATCACGTCACTTGTCACCGAATTGCATTGTTGTTTATCATATGTTATCAAAGGCAATCGGTCCTCGAAGAAGGAAATCGACTTCGCTGATTTTCGTGTGAATCTCCCTTATTTAATTACATATTAATTACTTTCATTTAACCGTTAAGTACTTATTCGTTGTTGTTAATTAACTCGAAGGCGGAGCTCGTTTCGAAAATTGCCTTAGGTCCTTTAACTGGAATTTCGGAAACTCCGTCTAAGGGAATGTCAATTACTGTACTGTATGGATATTTTTGGAACTCCGGGAAAAGTAGTGACCGGTGAAGTAATACCGTACATGTCTTTAGAAAGCACCGTCGAAACGAAAAGTGTTTTCTCCGTCCTTAAAAGGCTGCTTGAAAATATTTTCATGTCGCGCCAATCGCAATCTCGCCTGATTGCGATTATCGTAATCGGTGACCTGGAGTATTCTCATTCTTTCGGCATCTCTTCCCGAAATTTTGGGGGCTCGATTGGTCACGGTGACGTTGATAACGGTGATCGGATGACTCGCTAATGGCTTCGTCTCACGACACGCACTTTGCCCTATCACTTCACGGCAGAAAATGTTCGCACCGTGGTGGGTGTCACGCACACCTCGCATCGGATTCTGAAAAGGAGGAAAAAAGGGGGAAAAAAAATAATCGAGGAGTTCCAACCAGTAGAACTGACGAATCTATGCAAATCTAGGTACTTGGACTTTCGACATTACCCTGCCGAGGAAAATGATTCGTCCTGTAAAGAACACTATGTCATACGGTAGTAAAATATCACTGACCGTACAACTAAAAAAAAAGAATGAACATTTCAACTTTGAAACTAATAAGCGGTATGATATTTTATTTCGGTGTTTCCGGAATTTTTGTAAATGTGTCCACACTTGAGAGATATTGGATAAGGCACGAAAATTACTGTATTCGGGGCTAGGAACTTGAATTTTCGACATTATACTTGCAGGACGTCGTGCCTGTAAAGGACACGTCTCAAGGCGAGAAAATGTGAAATAAAAAATTCCGGCGAAAATTGTGTAAATCTTCTTTTTCAGTACTCTTGTAAATGGCTCGTTTAAACTCGAATTTATGTATGAGATGCAGTGTTTGGCCAAGGTCACGAAAATGACTGTATTCGAGGAGCGTCAACGGATCCGTCAAGTTCTTGGGAAACTCATTGGCGATCGTCCGGGTTTTCGAAATCGCCGCAAATGACGTTTCTTGGCGGTTCGAAACGGAAACGTGACCAGCACTTTTCCGAGGCATAAGTGTTTTCATCCGAAGACGAAGCCAGGGGCCACTTTGCTGCGTTTCGATTCCTGCGGCCTTGAGGGACATTCCGTCGAACAACTTTCTGTCCATTTGCGGAAACGTTCCTTGTCGAATTTCGAAAGTGCTGGAGGCGCACTTGTCCTGCTTTGAAACGATTCAAATGCAAGGTCGGAGCCCGCGAAAGGCGTTTAGATTAAACAGGTTTACTTTAGCTCATCGAAAGTCGGAGTTTAAGTTAATTACAGGCTCCCGAAATTCATTTTACGCAACGCGATAGGCAGAGCGTAGAAGGCAGTGAATTAATACGCATTCGTTGCATGCACGGAGGACCTGATTCAGGTCGTACGGCTGCATTCACGGCAGACCTGATTCAGGTCGTCGTTACTCGTGTAGGATGGAATTTAGTATTGACTCGAGACAGATAAAATCATACACTCGACATTGAGTGCACTTCGCCGTGCAATTTCTCATCCGGTTGGAAATAGTTTCCTGTGCGTTGCCGGACATCGAAAACTCGCGCGCCGCCATTTTGAATTCACCTTACCCTCGCATTTCTTATTCCATACATTTTATTTTATTCGACAATTTTACACTAGTCACTAAATGGGCTACCGGAAATTGCGTTCATTATGATGTGTAGCGGTCGACCAGTGGACAGTAATCGACGAGGTGATTAACCCTGTATTTCACAATTGCAAGAAAACCGGATTATTTCTTTATGACGCGAATATGGAGGAAAAGTCAATCAGTTTTGTAACTGCCCTGCGGTTATGCGGCTTGATAACGATACATAAATGGATCCATTCAGCGTCAGCTGTGATGTCTGAAATTGTTTCTTTGTCCCTGAAAATATATCTGAATAATTAATTAGATGTCATTATTACAACATCCGTGCAGCAGGTGTTTTTTTTTCAGGAAGAAGTTTATACCAAAGTATTTTTTAGATAAATACTCAAAGCATTTCGTTGAAATTCTACCCTGTAGCTATGGCGGGAGGGAAGATTCTATTTAACTTGCGCTTTTCCGAGGGTAAAGAGTAAATAGGCTTATTACAAGTACCCGGTTTTATGCTCGTGGTTGTTAACGCATTCACTTTGAGATATATGATTTATGGGAGTAAACACCGCTTGTGACGCGTTTTCTTTAACTCAGCGATTTCTTGTGTTTTCTGACCTTCCATTGCGTTGAAATGCACTTCACTTAACGCGTTGCAACTGCAAGTCGCATCTTCAATAATAACCATAAATTCAAACGAGTGTTTTTGAATTAAATAATAACTATAAATCCAAACGAGTGAAATGTTTATCGTGGATAGTCGTCAACGCATTCGCTTTCCGATGTATAATTTACAGGAATAAACACTATCGGCGCATTTGCGCGATTATTAAGCTTCGCATAAATTCCCAATGATTAGTTAAACTTATCAAATAATTTTCAGGATATTACGAATTAATTCCAAAAATTACAATTGCATATATTTCTCCGCTTTCTAGAATTGACTTGTATGTTTTTCGACAAGAATGATTCAGACGTAATGAAAACTTTAGTGGAGTTGTAAAATTAGCAGCCACCTACTTTTAGAGAAGGTGGAGCTGCTTTTTTCTAAGGAAGCCTTCAGTTTTTGACTATTTATGAAAATTAATGAGGGGCATCGCAGACACGTAATCAGCGGATCCACCTCCGGATTCGAAGGCTACGAAAAGGAGATTCATATGTTAATTTTTCCGACGTCTTGTCGGTCACTGCTTCGACTTCGAGAACACGTGCCGTTTCTCGTTTCTATCCATTCTAATTTCTATACTCGATCTCTGTGTAGTATTTACGAGTTTTTCCTCATTCCTGGCAATAAAACTGTCCGAATTAATCACGATGAGAGATGAGCTTCCACTTTCCGCATATAGTCAAACCCTACACATACATTTGACTATATTATCTCTGCATTACACGTAACAAAAAACAAGAACTATATTTATCCCGGACAAGAACTAAAAAAGAAACTTTTCCTCGAAAAACGAAATTTCATGAGTTTCAAGACCTTTATTAGGACCTTCAAAATCACATGTTAAAGTTTCAAATAATTCGGTGCATGAGAGTTTAGAGAAAAGTTTTATAAAGATTTTCGCGTATCGATAAATACATAGAGTTTCTTTCATTTCACCTTAAGGATCATAATTATTTCGGAAATTGTGTTTCTAAACATGCCCTCAATTTTATATAATTCCATTCGCTTTGATTAATTAATCAGCGCTGAAACTCGTCGAGTGGCGTCGCCAAGTGGACGCGCGGGTAAGCTCGTCCGAGCGGAGCTTCCGGCACGTCCCGCGGGCGGCGCTCTTGGCATTCGCGGACGACATGGAGCGCTCGATGTGCGCCGGTTTCGCGTAGTCGCGGATCGCCGTCCGTCGCCGCTCGTTCGTGCCCGTCGGCCGCGCGAGGAGATGGCAGTCGAGCGGGCCGGGCGCTGCGCGACGCTCGCCCTAAAGTGATGAGGCCGCGGTCGCCCTTCGAGAGAATCGGTATCGATTCGAGAGCTGCATTCGTCTGTGGCCACCACAGTCGCCGACTGGCGCCGAGTAGCGTCCCGCTCGTTGGCCGATAACGCCTCGGACCGTTATCAATGGTGAGTAAGCCGCGCCAAGGTGTCGCGCCCGCAGGGGTGGGGGCGGGCGCGCTCAGGTAATCGGCGGCGCGAGGCGTCTAGTTGGAGGGGGGGCGCCAGGGCGCACGTGTGTCCGTGTGTCGCGCGCGCGTCCCCTCCATCTTTTCGCCGCGGGCGCTCCAATCGCGCTCCAGACGCCGTGGGGGGAGCGAGGACGCCGAGCGATTAAAAAACCCGGCTTCCGAAACCGAATGGATTGTCTTCGCTTCTTTCTCGAAGCGCGATCGATAGCGTCTTCGTCAAGCCCATCTAGGATTTTAGAGGTTAGGTAGGTTAGGAGCTTAAGAAACTTCGACGTTCGATTTTCAGGATCGCCTGTGGACAGGGTTGGGTAGGTATAGTACGTCACGTAATATACGTGGTTTTCTACGCACAATTTACAACGTTTGATGCGTCCTTAGTTTCCTACGCGAGCTCAAAGTATATTACGCCCTTATGTCTCTAAATAGAAAGCAATATACCCAATCAGAAATTTGATATTAAACGGGGTTAAGTTGAAAGAATTTTAAACAAACATCAAATTAATTAGTCCTTAAAAATATTAACGTGTTTACGTGTACGCTAAAAGACGTTTTTAACCTAATGGATATATATGCACATATCTATCCTTCATCTACGGCATCCGCCATATTGGACACGTAATTTACTGGCTTTCTGCGATTTCCTAAACTACTTGGTTTATGTAATATATGTAAAAAACCTCAGAAAACGCGAAATTACCCAACAATAGTACACCGGATTGAAATATTGATAAAAATATTATAATAATGGTAGGGTTGGCAATATTGGCAATATTGGCGTGAACGCTCTCTCTTTGTGGGTGCGCCAGGTAATTAGAGGCGTCAGGCGTGCGCGGGAGGTTATCAGAAGCGTTAGGCATGTGCGCGGGAGGCGCCAGCGTGCGTCGGCACGCGCGCAGCCCTCCCCTCCCTCTCCTCGTCCCTGGAGTACTCTAAATGCACTCGAAGCGCACTCGGCTCACCCTGGAGAGAGCGAGACGGAGATACAATCGAAGAAGGCCGACCCTACTGCTCGCCCTGAACTATTTCTTCCCTCGTATTCTGAGAAAAAATATTAGTTGACTGAAACAAATATATATATCGTTGCCTGAATTATATACGATTCCAAGGAACAATTATTTTGCCGTGAAGAAAAAATTGATGTCGAGTTAGACTGCTTGTTGATGTTAACTAATTTCGTTTACTCAATCCGACATTTCTTTCGACGTATTCGATCGAAGGCTTTTGTTGCCACAGTGCATACTTCTTTGAGTCAACTTTTTTTTTTTCTCAAGGTGTATTTCTTTCCTTTCTTTGCAATTTGAGACGCGAGAAAACGGAAGAATCTCCGTCGAATCGACATAACGATTTTAAGATTAGGAAAGAACGATGCTACAATTTTACACTTTATATTTTAAATGTTCCCTTTTGCGAAGGGAAGGCTTGATTTTTCAATTCTTGATGCATGGATGGTCACCAGGGTTTGGGTAATTCGTAATGGCGGGAATGATTTGTATGAGAATTTAGGCGTTGAAAATACTCATTTTAAGTTCACGTGTTGAAGACGTCCTTTCGATGTTTTACGAGTCGGGTGCCCTTCCAGGGTCTTTTTTCGTTATTCTGGTATTTTTATCTTGGCACGTGTCTTAATGACGCGCGTTCGCTCTTACGCGAATTCACCTTAGACCATATATATATCTAGACCTCGCGTTGGACCTCCCACTCCCAGATTTTCAGGAAGCAGAATGGCTTTAACTGCGTAGGTGAGTCGTCGGGACACGTGGTACATTCGTTTACCCCTTCCACTGCAAGGCGGTCTACATAAATATATGGTCTAAAATCTGATTGGGTCCGAGTGCCGTCGATACACGTGGTCCATGTAGTATTTGAGTTCACCCCTTCCACTGCTATGCGAGGTCTAGATATTTATGGTATAAGGAATTCACGGGGTCACGTGACCGCGCCAATGGCGTCACACTGTCTCGTGCGCGTAATCGCGGCAGACGTCGCGGCACCGCTCGGTCGGTAAAGCAGGTTCCGGGCGCACGTGTTCGCGGAGAAGCCTGTATCGGGCTGACAATAAATGTCTCTTTTACTTATGTAACTTAATAGGTATCCATCGAAGCCTATTGTGATCGAAACAACTAAGCTGCTGCCTTTGTGTTCCATTCCTCTTCGTATTGCGTTTGAATATAGAACATTTGCGTGGAGAAAAAAAAATTAAAAAAATAAAATCAAGGGGCGAAAGTACCCAGATAGATCAAGTGATGGAAAAATTGAATCAAATTTGTCTCGTAAATGATCACGATATGAGCCATAGAGGGTGTCACTTGTGAGTCCTCATTTGGAACTCATATTTGCAGTACACGACGACGGACCAAAAGTACTTAAATATGAAAGAAAATTACGTACATGCAATGTCTCAATGTTTGTACGCATATGTACAGCTACATTTATCTCATACATTGCCGATGAACAATTGCGGCGTCTGTAGCTCATATTCGAGCCATGGCGTGATAATTTTACCGTAAACTTTTTTTCTTCTTATTTATTATATTGCAGTCATTTCATGCAGCAAATGGTATGGGAATTGTTTGTATGTCGATTTTCTTCGTCATATGATCATCATGAATTTCTATCTGGGTAGTTTTGTTACTCGCATCGATTATGTTTAGGACTATTTATGTTTTCCTGGAGCCAATACTATGGGAGGGCTTTTTCGTGCCGACGGCGAATGTATTATATAGATTCTATTTGTAGATCGTGCAGGAAGGACTCTCCAAGGAAAGCTTATCGATGGTTCCGGCAGGACTTGGCCGTCAAGTATCGTCGAGTGAGGGGTTTCGTATCGGTTGAAGCAATCGATCATATTTATTTTGTCAGGACGCTGTTTCGTGTCGAAGGCGAATCTATTACATGGATTCTATTTGTACACTAGTGGCACTTTAGCACGGGAGGCATTCATGTCCGATAGTGAACGTCGAATGGAGGAAAGCTTATCAACCGTTCCGTCGCGACGTTGACGTCGAGTATTATTGGGTGGCGGCTTTGAAACTGTTCAATACGATCGATCGTATTTGTAAGTTTCATCAGAATGCTATTTCATGTCGAGGATGAATATATTACGTTGGTTCTATTTGTGGATCGAGAATGGAGGAACGGTCGGAAATGTATTTGGCTCGAAACTCTACTCTTGATCAACAATTCTCCCACGATCTGGACGTCAAGCTTTGAACGAACTGTTTGGTATCGTTCAATACGATGAAATATGTTTATATCGAATTGATGTATTTCCAATTCCACGTGGAAATGCGGATATAATCTGTAGATTCGATTTGGACATGGCGAGTACATGAAAGGGTTCTCCACGGAAAGCTTATGGACGTTTTCCGTCCCGACGTGGAAGTCAAGTATCATAGAGTGAAGTGTTCGGTATCGGTCGATTGGATCGATCGTCTTGACAGCATTTTATTCCCGTGTCCACGAATCTCCCCAAGGGATCCCCCGTCCTCGCGAATGGAGATGGAATATCGCTTATCCGTTTTATCCGCACAGAAAGAGAGACTCGCCAAGGATGTTCGAGGATAGGCTATCGACGGAACCCAATCGTATCGTCACATCGCTCCTCAACCAAAGTTACAAAACTCAGCTGGGTGCTCCCTTTTATTCGATTTTATTGATTCTTCTAACATTCCCTCTATCCCGCCCCGGGAGAATAAATTGCGATCTCGTAACACTCCAAGTCACGTAACGTATTTAATGACGCAAAATTTACGTAAGACCCTTTTTCGATATTCAGGGCATTTTATTGGTTTCACCGTTAAAAATATTCATAAGATATCCATACCCTCTTACTACCTAACAGTGTAGTAAAATTGTAAAACTGACGCATTACATGTGAATTACTACACATTCATTATAAATTTCCAAGTGAATTTATATCTCACGTTATAAGCCCGTGAAACTGTGCAGGAAAATTAATATAATCTTCCGCTAAATATATAATGTCACAAGTTTTATTTGAAAATGTTAGAGAACTACCCTGAGAAAAAAAAATGAAAATTCATTGAACCGAAGGAATATTTTCTTAATTCGAAGAATAATTTTTTGAGCAGAATAAGCTCGAATAAATTGGATGTAAGAGTCTTGAGTGAAATAATCATTCTAGGAATTAAGAAAATATTTTCTTTGATTCAATGCATGTTTCTTTTTTTCCCCCACATTTTCCACAAATTCTTCTAACGAAAATGTTATAAAATTGTAATACCTTTTAACAGGGTATATGTGTACTTTCTGCACATGGGCAGGACAGGTTGTGAATGGGAAAATGGCAGGATAGGGTCCTCCTGGATTTTCTTTTTAACCTCTTCGCAGGCAGGCGTCGGTTTTTCCCTTATCTCGGCGCATTTTCTCGGACCGGGCTAAATTCACCAGGCTGCGGTTCTTACGAGGGTCGTCGAGATAAATAACTTTGAACCTCGAAGTGAGTTTCGCCTCGTAAAGAGCCCTGGTGTAGCTCGAGACGTCGTCGCGAAGAGCCACCTGACCTGGCAAAAATAGCCGAGTATCGCGTCGACGTAGCTGCGGCGTCGCGACGCCCCGAGGCCTTTGCATCGAGGGCTCGCTAAATGAGCCCAGCCCCGAATTCGATTCGATTATTCTCTACATGACTTTTTTTTTAATCACGACACAATGACCCCTCTCTTTTTACAAAATTGCACAATTTCTTCAGCACTTCAATTATACACGCTCCACCGAGAAAGGTTAAATTTGTCGCGGCGAAAAGTTCCCGCAAAGTTTTGCCAAATTGAGGGGGTTAGTAGATTGTGAAATGCGTTTTACTCGAAACGAGGTTCAAAGAAGAATGAAAAGGCACGGGAAAAAATTACGGGGTTGTTTCATTTGATGTTTTTAGGAGGACTCGAAGCAAAAGATGTTTCGAACCGCGTAAAAATGGCGGACTCGTGGAACGTTTTAAAAGTTTTTTTGTTTTATGTTAATCGTAAATGAAACAGCCCCGTAAGCAAGTATTTCCTGTATCTTTACTGTCTCGATTAAACTTAAGTTGATTAAAGCGATATGAAAGTGGCATCTCAAAAGTTCATTGTTTATCAAAGTTTTGTTAAGACCGGTTGTGCCGAATAGTATGAAATTTTACCCCATGCATATGGCGGCCCTGTGGAAAGTCCCGGCGCCCATGAAATTTAATTTTCAAAAATCTATTTATTAACATTCTCGTACAAAATCCAGTTTCATTGGTGTCGCAACCTTCCTTAACCGTCTGAGTCCTGGGGGGTATTGAAAAAACACTGTCGAAGAATCCCGAACAGCGCAACCGCGCTTTGAGTACGAGAAGACCCAAACAGCGCGATAGCGCTTTGTTTATTTTATGTCGATGAATCCCACTCGGCGCGATAGCGTTTCTTGAATTGTAAGATGTATTATTTACACCCTTGCGTTACGATTTAAATTCCAATAGCGCGTGCCATAAACAACAAAAGTGTCGGTCATACATCGGTCCATTTCACGGTTTGGCTGAACGTAACTTCTCATACGGTTTGTTTACATTTGGCCCGATTGACATACCACGTCTCTCACACGATATTTTAAGTTAAGAGGTTAAACGAAGGAGCTGTGTAATGTACTTGGGTCAGTGAATCTGAGCGACTTTGACAATCGGTGACGCACCGTCAGTTGTCCACAACGCTCGAAATGTGCTGGGTTTTCTCGACATAAAATCTGAACAGCGCAATCGCGCTGCCTGGGACTCAAACGGTTAAGGCCTCCGTATTGGTCTGGTAGAATTTCAAACGATTCGGTACACCCAGTCCGGAGAAAAGTTTCATGTACGATTGACCTCTTCGCTTTTACACCGCCTTAAAGCGCATTTCACAGCCTGCTGATCCTCTTGAGGTCTAAGGACCTGGAGAATCACTCGGAGGATTCTTATAAAGACTCGGTTGATCCCAAGCAGGTGAAGCAGCGAGAAGAGTCGAGGCGTCGCGGCGCCTGCGCTTCCTCGGTGGTCCACGAAGTCCGGCTCGCTCCTGGCTTAAGATCCGGCCTTAATACTCCCGTTTGCAGCTCGAGGGACCGGGCCCTAAAGAAGCGAAAGATGCGCGCCCAAGGTACACAGAAGTCCTCAAGTCGCTGAGGATGTTTCGCCGGTGTCTTTCATAGCTTCTAATCCAAAGATCGCGTAACGATCGATCCGATCGAGTCTTCTAACTTCCTAATCCAGGCTGGATCGATCATGCAGCAATTGATCCGATCGAGTATCCTAACCTAATCCAGGCTGGATCGATCATGCAGCGATCGATCCGATCGAATCATCTAACTTTCTAATCCAGATCGGATCGATCATGCAGCGATCGATCCGATCGAGACTTCTAACCTTCTAACCGCCTCGGATCGGTCACCCTGACCGGATTGGTCGATGTGCTCTAACCTCTCGACCAGCCGCAATCGATCGGCACCGACCTTTACGTATTAACCACCCATTTTCATTGCATGTCGAAGGTGCGGGGCAGGGACACCCGACTCTCCTTATCGTGCCTCCCGATAAAGCGCCTTGGCTGAGAAATTTCTCCTCAAATGGTCCTCAAACAATCGCAATAAGGAGGGGCGATCAAATCCTTCGTGACTTGGATTTCCAAGAGTAAATTGGTTCCTTCTTCTTCTTCTCTTTTTTTTTCATTCATTTATAAACATTTCTTAATTGTTTATAAAAGGCGGAATTTCTTAGATGCCACTTTCATGTCGCCTTAACTCTGACTTTTTGAAGACCTTCGCTTGTCGCACTTTTTTTCCTTTCTCTTTCCTGGGCCTTTTTCTGGTTCTGGTCATCTTACTTATCGAGGTGTATGGTGATTGCACGATTTATATTCCTTTTCGTTGCTTGTTGGGAAAGTTTACGTAGCTTGGGGGGATTCATTGGCGAAGTTCATGTAACGCGGACTGGGCGGCCATTAATCACGGAAGCGCGATGGTCGGTCGTTAAAGACGTAATCGCGAGGCTTATGGCACCAAGGTCTCGGCAGATTAGTACTAACACTATCTGGCACGGCATTCGTTGCTATCACTCAGGCCAAGAAGTATTCGCGTCCAATCCCCCTTACGGTAGTAAGTACTAAAGTGGGTCGATACTAATACCATCCAGCATGCTAATTCGCAACCACCCAGATTATGATTGCAATCGTCACGTCGAGTGATCATTTTAATTGCGAGCGCGGTATGAGCACGTACATTGCACAGACATACGGAGAAAAACAATTCCTTTAACCGATGAAATATTTTGCTAATTCAAGGAATTATGATTTGACCTCAAGTTAACTCAAATAAATTGTCATAATTCCGAAATAACGTCGCGTCTAATTTGAGTTGATTTGAGATAAATCGTGTTTCTTTTTCTTTTTTAATCGATGAAATATTTCAAGGGTCATTCTATATATACATCAAAACGTGAACATTTTTTGGGCAAACTTTCGTTTTTTCTGTTCTTGTCCGGAATAAATACATTTCCATTTTTTTTTTATTATGAAATTTCGCGAGTTTCAAGACCTTCACTAGGACTTCTATAAGTACGCGTCAAAGTTCCAAATTATTCGGTGCACATACAAGTATTTTGCCACTTTGGTACATAGATATGACACTTTCGTAACACCTTAATTGGCTCGCAATTCTTTTCGGGCCATCCACGATGATCTGCTTATTTTCCCCCAATCAGGACTCTCGACATAGGAATTGTCGAGCAACGCGTCAAGTGAAGAGGTACCTTTATGCGCCCTTCAATCGGCACCCCAATGTCCAGCCGGGATCGATCGCTCCGCAATATATCCGTATGCAAATCCACCCTCCTAGACCTCGGGGAGTAACCTCACCCCTCGTTTCTCCAGATCCCGAGCGTGCGAATAACCCAAGGCCAGGGGTTTCCCTAGGCGCCATTAACACGGAGCGAGGATGACTAACAGACCTTCTGCGAGGAAATGGATAACCCACGAGCGATCGGCGGATTCCGCGAAAGAAACGCAGGGCGGAAAGGGGCCACAGTTCCGTGAGTTTTTCCGCCTGGTCGCAGGTACTGATTACGATTTCCTGCTTCCAGTTCTGAGGATGCTCTCGCAGAAGCGGGCGGAGATGGCGGAGGCCGCTGAAGCGTTGGAGGTCGCAGGGGCGAGTCGGGCGGATCCCAAGGGAGGCGCATCAGCGAGTGGAGCAGTAACTCCAGGGAGCTACGCGAACGGCGAGGGCTCCAAGGAGTTCCTGTCGACCGGCAGGACCGGCAGGAGAAACGCCATGCCCGACATCCTCGGGCAACACGCCGACGTCGGCACTGCCGACCTCCCCTCGAGGCTGGAGGCCCTCACCACCGACTCCAAGCACGGTCCGTCCCGATCTTTGGATTACCTTCAATTGGTCTCGAAGTGACCTATTATTAGAGGAAAATTTAATAGGATAAGTGTCGCAAATGTAATGGGAACGGTGGATGTACATGGGGATGTACACTAGGCCGGGTCGTTATCTCGAGCACACGTGGTTATAGTCTTTTGTGTCCTGAAGAATGGACCTTCGGGGCGCAGATTGTCCGCGGGAAGTCTAGCGGCTCGAATAACGATTCGATTACCTCCCGACCTTGATTGGGACTCGAGGGAGCCAGTGCTGGACATTAAAAATAAGCTCTTTCAATTTGGTGCCCTGAAGAGGCATTTCTTTATGTGTGGGTAAAATCCTAAAGCTAGGCCGTGTTAATTGATATTTTAAATTACATTTCTGAGGTGGAACATCGAGGTTCTCACGTTTCTCACTTTCGGTGTTAAGAGGGGTTCTCTTATTTGTCGGTCTTGATAGATAAATGATATTGTTTATCAATAAGTGAGGTGTGTTTCTTTGGTCCGATTAAATCTTTTCCTGAGTGTAAGTAGAGTTCTCAGAGTAAGGGAATATGTAGTAAATGTATAATGATCCTTTTTTTTTTTAGACCAACCCGGCACCAGCGGATTGACCCAGGAGGAACTGCTGGCGGCCAGTCAGCGAAACGGCTGACGAAAAGAACCCTCCTGGTGACAACTCTCTACAGGGCGGACTTTTGACACTTCGATCGAGGTCGGCGACGAAGCTGGCCCTCCGACGAGGGAACCAAGACGTCGGCGATGTCGCCGATCGCGGGTCGAGGGCCGCTGTAACGAGCGTTGCCCGCAACGCGACACGTCTCTGTACATAGACATAGGATAGCGAACGCGTCCGTTTTTCTCTATTTTTTATATTGTCTTACTAAGTCGGTTAAAGATGTAAATCGACCTTGAGGTACAACGGAGATGGACAACGAGGATATTCGTTGTCGCTATCCTGGACGACAGTATTACGTATCGATAGGTTTCTTCTCCGTTAATTTTCCGTCGACTTTGGTTTAAGAGGTTCCCGCAGGAGTCTGTAGGTCCTAGGACGTTCCTTCCGTCATTCGGAGCCCGAATTTCCTAGGCTACGCATCCGGAAACGGAAATTAAGGGGGTCTTTCGATTTATTGCGGGGCCTTACGAGCGTTAAAAAGCGACGCGCGTTGCGACTAACGTTGCATCGTGACAAAAGAGACGCACGTCGGTCATCTGTACACCATATTAGATTATAATCTTCTTCGATGGATGTTGTAACGACGGATATTTATGCGACGCTTGTGGGGTCCCAGTCTTTAGAGGTGTCTCGAAATCTTCTAACTTGGCGAAGGAAATTGACTGTTATTAAATCTAGACGAACTGACCCGACGAAATGACATCTTCGAGCCCCCTTAATGCGGAGATAATTTGCAATTTTTCTCCCAGGGGAAGCTTCGGTATTCCCGTCGCATGAACGACGTTAAAGGGTTATTCCTTAGTCAATTGTTATTCCCAAAGGAGGCCCGATTCGCTCCACCCTGTGTTACACTCTGACTGTCAGTGATATAAAAAGGTTGTGTGTCGTTAGTTTAGGAAGAGTGGACTACAACTGTAACTAGGATATCGCATTTTCTACGGTAGATTTAGGGACAAGAGCGAGGCCGTGCGGAAGGAATTCTCGCAACGGGGGAAACGCGTCTGGAATGTCAATGAAACGAATCGCCGGTGCATGTTAACGCGAAAGAAACGTTAACGACCGACACTTTTTTTTTTTGCCAAGACGTCGAGTCTCTTTCAGGAAGTTACGACGACGGGCATTGTTTTACGCAACTCGATGCCATTAAGCGTCCGCTTTTCCTGCTTACCGAAGATGATCGCATCGCTTTTTAAGGGGGCTCGAAGGTGTTTTTTCTTTTCTAATGCGAGGTAAAAAAGTCACCTTCGGAACGTCTTGAAAACTGTCTTTGATATTCTCATGACACGCCGTACAAGTTCTAAAAGTCGACGCTGCTCTCTTCCCCTTCCCCGTGAGCCTACAGGCATCGAGGTTTTTCGATGGATCTTTATTCATTTCTTCTGTTTCTCTTGCTCTTAGATTTTGTTCTTTGAGGTAAATCGAAGAAGGAACAACGAGGAATCTCCATTACCTTTCGAATGGGCGTTCTGCCCGACCAGTCGAATTCTGAACCGAGAAAAGGAATTCGTTGCGGCCTCCCTAGGAACGTTTCTATATTACATAAGCATTCGTATACGTGTTTAGCTAGAACGTATTAAGTTATTTTTACGACTGCGGATATGTACATACATAGTTAATACGTTCGAACGAAATGCGTGGCCCCCGAATCAGGTTCGGACCAATCGATTACCCCCGCCGGAACTTTATTTTCCACGGAGTGGAAATTCGCCTTAAGGCGATGGGAAAGTGGCTGCGCAGAGGTCTCGTTTATGAAACTTTTCTCTGAACTGAGTATGTCGAATCGTTTTAATAATCACAGCGAGAATATGGAGGCTACAAGGAAGCTCCTGACACCCGTGAAATTTGTTTATGGGTATTTTTTAAATTTTGTATTAAAACTGAAATTTCATGGGTGGAGGGACCTTCCTTGTAGCCTCCGTATTTACGTTGTAAAGTGTGAAACGATTCGGTGGATCCATTTTGGAGAAAACGTTTCATGAACGATTGACCTTTCGGATGCCGTTTTCACATCCCCTTAAACGTGGATCAGAACGAATATTAACGTAGACACTTGCACGACATTGAATTTTCCTGCCGATTAGTGTCAGCACTAAGGGAAATTCAGCTTAGGGTATCTGCGGATTGTACGTTTTCAGTTTTGCTCTCTCATGAGAAAGCGCTGACCATTACAAAATGGGGCGTCTGAATGTGTGCCGAAAATGAGATTTTGCCGAGCGACAGGGACACCGATAGCGACTAATTGGGGTTTCCCAAGCTATTCTCGATTCCGCTTTAACCTAGGAGCTTAATTTTGCGCGCCATTGCAAAGCTCGACGTTCGTTTGCCACCCTCGTACGCCCTTCCTCCGACAGTTACTGCATCAAACTAGGAGTAAATATTTGCAGTCCAACGTGTGTACGTGCTCGCGGTACTTTTCCCGACACCTCATTTAACTCCCGAGTGCTTACTCGTCTTATTTGCGTATTGAGTTTGCGTCCTGTCTCCCTGGCTTGGGAATTTAACGATTTGACACACCACTACTCGAGCGGTGGAAAATAGGGAATGCCTCTTTGTTATTGCACCCCTAACGAGCGTGACCGCTGTCACTGTTAATGCGAATTACAGTTCACCCGTTGAATTTGCCATGGGGTTCTTTTATCGAGAGGAGGTATTTTTATCGGCCGGGTATTTCGAGGAAAAGCGGAGAGCGAGAGGAAGCGGTGCCGATTTTCTATCGAAGGCAGGGAAATTATTATAAGCGGGGAATCGCACCTTGCGGGGCGGATCGAAACTCTAGTCAGCATCGAGGGCTCTTCTCTGTCCTCGGACCCCAATTTTCATTGTAGTAGTTAAAATTTATTCTTCAACAATTTCGAGGGATTCGACGCCGAGGAATTCGGTTTTATGTATTGTCTCATTTATCCTACTCGGTTGAAATTTTCTGCTCAATGAAGTTAAGCCGTAACTGTGGAAATCAGGAAAAGAAGGTTTTGCGCGCTTGGGGTTCGGGATGAGAAAAGACTCCTACAGAGTTTATTCACTATTCGATGGTCGGGTTGGTAAACCCGTGATTAGTGGAACTTTTCGACGTATCCGTACTTCTGAATTTCAATTCCCTTCCTCCGGTGAGTCTCGCGTGGAAAGTCCTCGACGTTTTCGTGGGAGCGAAGCGGCGCTTCCGTTACTTAAAGGAGAGCATCCATGAGTAGTTAGGCATTTCGTTTAGCGTTTTAGTCTCGAATGCGCGAGGCTGTCTCCACTGGCATGACTAATAAACAGGAATTTTTAATAATTACAACGGGGCGCTCCTCATTCGACTCGCCTCACCTTTTCGCAGGGACTTATTCAGTCGCTTCAGAATTCCGGTGCGGTGAATTTCCTTTGAAGATTAACCTTCTACAGTGTCATAGATGATTTTAAAGTCACAATTAATTAATATAGTATATACATATAAAATCACTAATTATAGTATATATTTTTTTAATAATAGTTTATTTTCCCATGGCTTGCTTAATTGTTTCGGCAAAACTTAAATGGCACATCATTATTGCACCGTTCCTTGGTAACCAATGAATTTCAAGGAAATCAATTGTTTAATTTTTACAAATCTCTCGGCGTACTTATGAAACAATCCAGTAAGTCTGATTGAATTAATGCAATTGTCTCTTTCAATATCTCCTTCTTTGGGGTATTTTAACAAGCGCTTTCGAACACATGCTGGAACGAATCCTTGCTGGGAATATCCTATCAGCATGAGTACTTGGCAGTGCCGTAAACGCGATATTAAGTCCGCTCGAAAAATTCTGTTTGTTCAGCTTATCGGGGGATAATCGGGCTGGAAAAGCAGGACGCAGGAGGGTCGTTCCTGATGTGCGAACATCACAGAATGTTAGATAGGAGAGCCGATCTAGCCACGCGTATCAATTCCAAGGATGTCCACGTTCCACTCGTTTATTTTCCACCCCTGCCTGATCCTGATATCGCTGTCAAGTATTATATTTACCTTTAGAACTTCATCAAGTTTTAATCGACCTATAAAGCCTCGGCCTTCGACTGGGTATTTAGAGGGCTTGCTGATAAATCCACATGTAACGTATTCTTCCTCACACGGAGAAAACCTGAAAAGACATATTAACCACTAATAATCATTTTTAATCAATTGGTATTCCTTTAAATGGTTAGTAATTAGATAAACACAATTAGCAAAGAATTAGAAAAGAGGAGTACCGGTGAGACAAGATCTCGCTGATGAATATCTTTATTGCTAACCACATATCTGTACTTTTTTTCCTTATGTTTTTTTTTCTTTTTTGGTTTTCCTTTGAATTGCAAATGTTATAATGTTTATCCGATCGCATGTAGAAATTCCTGACTTTTTCTGGATAGGATTATTAGCCTTATTTTGTATCTTGGAATACGTAGAATTTATATTCCTTTATTTAAGAACGGGGAAGAAAATAGGTGAAACAATTTGAAAGGGGTGTTAAGTGGTTTTTTTTTCTCTCTTGAAGTGAGCCTCGTACAGTCCCTCCCTGTAATCTGTAATCTGTAATTTACTTCGCAGTAAGTTAATTCCTATATCGAGGGCGTACTCCTGTAAAACGCGGGTGTAAACTCTCCGAGCTAAAGACTCCTTCGCTTCTGAATGGCCTCGCTGACGAATGGACGTGTACTTGCATATCTGCATAAGTGAGCACACAAATGTACATGCGTACTTGCTCGAGCATTATATACGCCTCTGGGTGGTGATCGAGCTCGTCATTTGCGTGCAAGCCACGAGTGCGAGAGATTATTAATCGCACCTGAAGTCGACGATTCGTCCTCGATACTCCGATAAAGGAAATTCGCCGATTGTTCAACAATCACTTCCTCCGTTAATTTCCCCGAGAAACAAGTGTCGTGATTTAAATTGGCCCCGTTATTTCCGTCGGAAAGATTTTTGAAGATATTTCAAGACGCTTTTCTTCGCGCCTATTAGCGATGGCTTTTCGACGGTAATTTATTCAGGAGTGTTCGGGAACTTATGACAGTTTTTTCGGGAATTTTATTCGGACAATATTAGGTATGGCGGTTGCAAGAAATATTAGGCAAAGGAGAGTTCCCTTAAGATAGAAGTGACACCGTGGATTATGGGAACTTATCGGGGCGAAATGGCCGTCGAAGGAAACGAAAATTCGTCCCCCACGTGGAGAATCAGCGAAGGAGTACCTTTGACCGATTTAAGGGATCGGTAAGCATTTGTAATATAATGTTCGTTAAGAAAATTCAGGGTTTTGTTAGTTTTATGCGAAAATTATTTTCTAAATAGAATGAAAGCTAGGTGGCCAGGCTATTCCCGCTCGGCGGAGTAAGTGGTAAAGAACAATTGTGGTCAGACGCATATACGGGGAATTGTAGAGAGTAAGTAGAAGAAAAGTGAGTCCGGTCGGCCAAATTGTTTTATACTTAAAATAAAATCTCTGGCCGATTTATCGAGATGACAATATTAGAGAACGGGTAGAAAGAAATGAATACCGTCAGCGAGGTTTGTTTAGACTCAAATTATAATTTACTGTCAATTGATCGCGATGATTTAGCCCGATATTAGGTAGTAAGTAAAACTAAGCGAATATGGTCAGACCATTTTTTACTAAAAAAAAAAATAAAATAAAATTCATCGCGATGATTTTCCTCGTATTTTTCGCGGCGCCAACGACATTTTGCCTTTCCTGGATTGGATAAATAAACAATTCGTGGATGAGTCTCCGCAAACGCCCATATCGGATTCATTAAATTTGTATCGTTTGCCGTGCGCCACGCGATTAAACGCGTCGTGACGTTTCTCTCCTGTAAAAAAACAACTACGTTCTACGTGCTTATGCATCAGTATGTGCATAAACGTGTAATCTGTTCCGCGAAGCAACGATCTGGTGACGATTTTCATGACGATCCTTTCCAGATCCTGCGAGGCCGATCTCGTTCAATTCCGGCGATATGACACCTTGAAGATGGAAACGGCGGCGATTGATGGTAACTCGAGAGCCAGTAATAATTAATATCAATTAAAGAGAAGGGATAATTATTAATTACGATCCGCAGTGACACCCCGGACGACGATGTCGAGAAATTTTGTCAATGGGGATAACTCGTTGCACGTCTCCTTCAGGCCGATTATAATCATGGCTCAATGTTTCTCCGTACTTCCGGTCAGCGGTATTAATTCCCCCGATCCTTCGAACTTGAAGTAAGCACTTCGAGGCTGGTAAATGTTAATTTTCAATTGACGTCAGATATTATCTCAGTTTTTAACGAAATCATACATTTCAGATTCACCTGGAGGAGTCCACGGATCCTCTACTGTGGGATCTCCTTTTTAAGTGCATCGCTTATGACGATCTTTTGCGTGATCCATCTGGCCAGGACTGACATCACCTCGACGAAGACTAGTAAAATCCCTGAAATATCGAGATGTGTTAACGTGCCGCTGACAATTCGGGTTATCGTGTAATTTTCTGCATTTTTATTTCTGCCCATCAGCGAGCGCTGTATTTTTTGGGACCTCTTGCATGACGACTTTGCTCTTCCTGCAACTCGCCACTCGATGGCCGTCCTTTGTCCTGGCTTGGAATAAATTCGAACGGGAGAGAACTTCTCCCAGAAACGTTTCCAGGATCAGTTTGGCCCTTCGGTTCAGAATTCTCACGGTAGTCATCATGGGCTTGGCTTTCGGTGAGTGAAAAAGAAAATGCATTTCGAGTAATTCCTATGATAACTGCAGCGAAGTTCCTTCGCAAATTACGTACTCTTATCTTACGTGCATCGGTATGTTTATAATTAGTGTTACGCATAATTAAAAAGCACATGGCATGTTCACGGAATATTCCACGTCACCTGTTGAATGTATGTCAAAGGTTCGATACAGGCTTCCTTTAAAGCACTTATTAAAAAAAGGAATAATTAGCAAAAATGTGGCTATTTTCAGCGTTATTTAAAATGTGATCGTGTATCGTGCTGTGGGAGAATTTCAATGTTTATAACTATTTATGTATTGGAGACTGCGCAGAAATGACGATGGGGCTTCGAGGGAAGCGACTAGCGAATAAATTATCATTTGTATGCTTTTTATGTTTCCAAAAATCGTTCAACTTGGACTGGTCGCTCTGTGAAACTCATTCTACGAAGTCGAGCACACTTTGTCGATTCTTTCTGGATACAGCAGTGCCGTGGAGTGCGTTGCAGTCCGCGGAGATTCCGACATCCTTAGCGTCTACTTTGAGTCGCAATTCCCTCAGGTAAAATGTACCCAAGAGAGTTAACTATAAACATTGAAAATTAAAGTCGATCGCGGTTCCTTCTGATTTAAAATTGTTAACAAAAAATGTAATTACAATTGCGCGATCGGGAGTCAGTATACGAAGGTATCCAAGTTTTCGTCCTGCACAATTGCTCACGTACTCATGCAGATATGATAAAAAATGAGTGTACAAAAGATTTTGAGATTTAGTACACATCCTTAAACTTGTGTACGAAATTTCTCCACGTAATTATATACGAAGTCTGAAAATATTGCACCTTAAGGAAATATCGACTACGCATAATTTTCGCTTGAACATCTTCCAGGTTTTCACAAGGACCCCCTACGCCCACTGGAAAGGAGCAGTAGTCCTGATGCTGAACATTCTGAGCACCTTCTCCTGGAACTTCATGGACCTCTTCTTAATCCTTATCAGCGTCGCTTTGACCGACCAGTTTCGCCAGCTAAATCGAAGACTGGACTTGACGAAGGAAAAGGTAAACCAGGTTTTGGTATGTCCTTTAAAAATATGAAAGATGTTAAGATTTTCTGCATACCTTTTTTTCTTTTTCTGTTCCAAGATTATGTCCGATCGTTGGTGGTCCGAGGCGAGGACCGACTACAATCGATTGGCCATCTTGAGCAGATTGGTCGACTCCAACGTGTCCGAAATCGTCCTTCTCTCCTTTGCAAATAACCTTTACTTCATCTGCATCCAACTTCTGAATTCTGTCAATTACAAGCAAGTGCCTGAAGTTTTATTACATGAATTTTAAATCCCACGCAGTTTGCAAACCAAGTGCAATATAATTTGTTTGATCATTTCTTAAGGCAATGCGAAAGCGGAATCTGAGGAATCAATCGTTTATGAAAGTTATCTCCAAACTGGGCGCACCGAATAATTTGAAATTTTAACAAGTGATTATGGAAGATCTAATGAAGGTCTTGAAACTCGCAGAAATTTCATTTTTCGAACAAAAATGTTGTACCTAACCTAAAAAATATTTTTTGTTTCGAAAAATGAAATTTTTCAAGTCTTTCATCAGGGCCCCCCTAATCACGTGTTAAAGTTTCAAATTATTCTGTGCACCCAGAAAGAAAAGCTTTATGAATATTTTCACGTTCTGATGTATATAAGACGTATGCATTTTTTTGTCAGGAAGTTTTATTAATATTTTCACATTTTGATATTTATAGATCACCTTTCGTATCCTCTTAATGGGGGTGCATATTTTTTCAGGCCAATGCGAGATGCCATACACACAATTTACTTCTGCTTCTCCTTCGGGTTCCTTCTTGCAAGGACAGCAGCGATGTCCTTGTTCGCAGCAGCAGTTCACGACGAGTCCTTGCTTCCTGCCCCGGTTCTTTACGGCGTTTCCAGTTCCAGCTACTCCTCAGAGGTATATTTTCTAAAGCGAAGTAGTTTAATTAAAAAGTCAAACGAAGGCTTCTTCAGGTCCTCAGGTTCCTTCTGCAAGTTACCACCGACAACATTGCATTATCGGGCATGAAGTTCTTTTCGATCACCAGGAGCTTGGTTCTTACCGTAAATATCCTTCGTCAATGCGTGCCAGTGAAATGACAATAAATAGAAAATTACCCAGAAAGATAATATAATGAGGGCATAATTTTTTATTCAGGTCGCAGGGACCATTGTCACCTACGAATTGGTCCTGGTCCAGTTTAATGCCGTCCAACAATCGGACTCTTTGCAAATCAATATTACTACTGCTTGCATGGTAAAGTAGGAGCCGTATAAACTTGTACAATATGCTTCGGAGTTTCGGCAATCATTTCCATGCCTGTTTTCTGCACTCTCGACACGCTCGAATAAAGTTTCTACTTCCTGCCGTGATTTGGGTATGCCAACGCGAAAAATTGTAATCTTTAATATGTATCTTTCAACGCGCCACTATTTTCTACTTTTTAATTTCAGATTAGAACGAGTCTATTTGCACGGAAACTGTTGGCTTTTCACATTCTAATACACGCTGGACCAACTGAGATCTCATTACCCTGCGTTGATTTACCTTTTGACTCAACTATCTCGTTTACAACTTCACCATTCAGTCTTTAACATTTTTACCATTAGCCAATTCCACTAAGAAATTTATTATACTCTTCTATTTTCTGTTTTAGCCTTATTACATGCAATAACGCAACCCTCGCGTTTTCGTTCGTTCAGGAAAACAAAATTGAGAAATTTCGAAGAAAGGAGAGGGCAACAGTTCCAACGATTGTTTAATATTTATTACCTAACAGCGATAATGTAACGTTGGCCTCGCGTTTAATGCGCTTATTTGTAATAAAAAGACTTGATGTATGTTCCAATAATTGTTTAATCTCTCGTCACGTTTTCATGGCGACGTTGAATTGCAGTAAAACGACTTCGTACGTCGCGATAGCACCGGCCACCTTGAAAAGAAAAACAAAATGCTATCATTCCTACCGAAATGTATAAAAATAAAAGGTCAAGATATATACATATATAATAAAATGTCAAATACCGCCAGCATGAAGTTCCTGGTGATGGAGAAAAACCGCAAACCAGTCAGGGCGATTTCATCCGTGGCAAGTTGTTGTAGTAGTCTCTGAGTCTGTAAAAATGGCGACTGGTTAAATATAAATAATTGTCGAGTATTATACGGTATTATAGGAACTCGTGCGGTAGATATTTCAGTTATTAATAGAAAGATTTCTTTTCCCCACCTCAACGCGGTACATCGGCGTCGGGCAATTGTAAAGGGCCGGAAGTGCCATTTTACTTTGGTCGTTGATTCTTGCCGTTAACAAAGTAACAGCAATTGTTCTACCAACTAGAAATCCAAAGGAGCCGAAGAAGTACATTGAGTGAAGCAGACTGTACTCTGACGGCCTGATAAGATTCCGTATAGAAATAAAAAAGATTATCATTAACGGATGCGGTGGCGGATGTAGAAAACTAATATTGGCAATAATGGTATAGTATTTAGAAGTATATGTAATAAAATATTTGGGTTGGCTTTTGGCTCTGTTCTAAATTTTCGGCACCCAATGGAGTCTTTCAGAAAAAGAACTAACGAAAGGCCGTTCAGCAGTTGTAGGCAGATGAAGTAGAGATTATTGGCAAAGGACAGAAGGATGATCGGCGACACGTTGTCGTCCACCTTCTTCACAAGAGAGCTCAGAGCCGCGTATTTCTCGCGGAACTGTTCCCACTCCTCGACAACGCAACTGCTTGGCAGCATGGTAAGAATTCTCCTATTCAAGAACTTGTACCGCTCGGCCAACCCCGTAGAAACCTGGAAAATAAATGAAATGTTTTTATTTCATTGGAATTACTGGCAGTACATCTATGACGCTCTCACCAGCATGATGAACAAGTCGGTGAAGTTCCAGATAAAAGTGGCGATCTTGCTAATGATGAACACGAATATCCCTACGGTCTCGTCGTATTTCCCTGAAATAGTTGCAATTTGAACTATTAGATCTATATCCTTAAAAGTATAAATAAATTAATTTATCAATCTCACATGTGGTCAGCAAGAAGGAGTGGGACCTCTCGGTGTACACCTGAAGAAAGTGAGAGAACGTGCTATTCCCTGACTCCCAGATATAATCTGGAGTATTTGTCAGAATACTCAGGATATGCTCCGTCAGGGCTGGCAAAAGTACCAACAGAACAATGGCCAAAAATTTCCAGCGCAGTCGGGGACGTTCTACCGATTTGTGTTTACTGAAATTTTTTTTCTCTTTTTTAAATTATTCTGGGGAATGAAGCTCGTCCCTTAGTCTGAATAGTTCGTAAAAAGGGAGAATAGATACCTGTCGATCAGTCTTTCCATGGCTCTCCATTGTCGTTGCAGTGGGATCCACCGTGGGGAGAGCCATAGGAAGAGTATCGCGCCAAGTACACCGTTCCCGTAAAACACTGCACCAGCTGTCGCCGCACCTACTCCACCTGAAAGAGAATTCGTCATCGATGATTCCACGTCATCATCCACCGAGGGTATCTTCGTATAGATGCACATTTCTTTTTAAACTCGCAATGGATCTGATCATTTTTTTTTTTTTGTAATTCGGTATTTCACCTTGGACCTGGAAAGTTTCGGCTCCGAGGGTCCTGACCATGTGGAGGAAAGACACCGAGGCAACTATCAGCAAAGCGCAGCTGATGATGACGGAGTAAAGGAGCCTCAAGGAGGGCTTCTTCAGGGCGAGGTCTTCAGGAGAGGGCAGACACACTCCGCAGACTGGGAGAACACCGAACCATTGGGCCAGGGCCAGGATGGGTCCGATTGCTCGGTGGAAACTTTCTGCATCCTGATGAGAATGTGAAGTATAAATATATATATTTTTTAATAAGAAATTGTAAATAGTTATAGCATATATTCATGCAGGTTGATTTTTGTAGATTGTTCAGAGTAAAGAACTCACGTCGTCTTCCATTGAAGGTCGCTCGGTCGGATGGACACTGGAGTGCAGAAGAATTCGCGATTTCGCAGCCCCATTGCGAATCTTCTGCGCGAAGTGCACCTCGACTTTTCCTGAGTTTTTCCCCGATCCCAAGATCGGCCAAATTTTGCGAAAGTCGGCATTTTTCACTTCTGCGGTTCCATCGAAGAACGGCTTTGTCTGGATCATCGCTGGCTGGTTTCCAAGAAATAAATACATATTCTAAATTAATACATTAGACATTAAACTATTCTTGTAGTTTCTTTGCTGACTGTTCTCGCAGTTTATATTAGAATTAATTATTTAAAGAATTAATTGTACTCTTTCGTACCTTTCGTGTCTACGTAGAATTCTCTTGATCTTTTCGCCGGGTCATTTTTGTGCAATCACATTTTAGAGGATCGGAGGAAAAATGGCTTGTCAATTGATGAGATACGAACAAATGTATCCTCTCTTTTCTGCAGAAATGGCTACACTGACCTGTCTAATGAGAAATCGAGCTCGCCGCTTTAACGTGTGCATGTCGGATCAGATACAAGCTTCGACGATTCAAATGCGTATTCAAGCTCGATTACAGTCACACCAAGATTTTATCTGTTACGAGAACAGGGATGAAGCACAGGTGGACGTACATACGCAGTGGTAAAGAAGTTTAAATTGATCCACTATTGAAGAATCTAGTCCAACTATGAACGTGTTAATTCTGACACTTAGATGATACCATTAAATTTGATGATTTTCTTCGCACTTTCCTTACCCAGTATGGCTTGACTCGATAAACAGGAAATGTAAAAAAGCTGGAGCGTAGACAAGTAATAAATGCAAACTCTTGCATGAGTAAGTACTTGTGAATTATTTAGAAGTACCAGCAACTGGAAAACAATCGTGATACCTTCAGATTAGATCGCTGTAGAATCACTCATACCATGGAAAAACATACCATTTGATGTAAACAAGATAGTAAACGATTCTCAATTTGCATTACATTTGTATTTACTTCCGCGATGATATATTGTTTTATGAGATTCTTGTGCGGACTACAACATTTATCAATGTATCGTTAGAGATAAGGTAATTAAATTTCAGAGTTGTCGAGATTTCATTTTCATATTTTATTTACAATATCAACAGTCTTCTGTATTAGACGGTCTTTTTACGATCGATCGACAGTGCAATGTTAGATCTATGTAAGAACGACTCATTTCACTCGGTAGTATTTGCTTTCAGGCCACTATTCTATTCACCACATAGCACGTTGGACACCTGCCAGTTTGTTATAATCAGCAAGGTGGCGAAAGACGATTCTTGAAACTCTCCATCTGTGAACAACTCCTCGGGGTCGTGACGTTACCATACAGCGCGTCTTCACTCGACATGGTTGGGAATTTCTGGGCAGTGCATCGATATCTGCACCTGCAATCTCCTGTTAGAAAAAATGTATTACTTATCTATGATATTTTATATCAATTAACTGAAATATTAATTACTCACTTTGAGTTCAATTGGGAGTATGTCATTCCTTTTAATCGATATGAGTCTCACACGTTCCTTGGCATGTTCTTTGACGCACATTCTGCGGTTGTAGTCACGAAGCATTCTCCAATCAGCCCACTTATTCCGTACTTGCTGAAACTAAATCTCGAGGATCAGAAACGCGACTGCGGACCATGTAACTTTTTTCGAGTAAGACTTATTGTGTTACACATTTTTTAATAGAATAAACGTCGTAGTATACATTTGTAAATAACGCATATAACATAATATTAATCCAACTCTAAATAAAGAATATAGACTAACTTTGGGTACTTTGAGGTTATACTGTTATTGTTTTAATAGATATGCCCGCTGTGACAATCATTAAGCTTTTTATTTTTGCAGATATTAAATACAACTTACTCCATATCCTGACAATTCTGGAGTTTTTATGACGGATCTTGTAAAAGCCGCAATACTGGACACGAGAGTTGCCATTTTTACGAGAAAAGCAGAAAAATGGAGTTGGTTGGATTCAAGGTGAGTTTCTTGAAAGCTTCAGTTGGGGGCAGCACAAGACGGTGATCGCACATCCAACTCGTGAACAATCTCCCGATTCGGCTCTGCTGGTAGTTTCCAAAATGGGAACAAATTCGATTCTGTAATCTCAGTATTCTTTGTAATCCTTGTAATCCGAAAGGGCCACGTAACCCCAAAAAATCCGTTTTCACATTTTGTACATAGAAGAGGAAAACGAAACGAAGAATGTGCGAGTAATATAAATTCAAAAATTGAACCTCTCCGTGATCATGTGGGCCGACACGGTTTTGATTGTATTTATTAGTATATGCACGGCATTATTAGGAGAAGGTTAGTAGAACATATCAAAAATTAATTTAATTATACTGATGAATTATTATGTGCAATAGCTGTTTAAAAATAATTTTCTGATACACTTTTGTTACTTAGGATTAACATGGCTGATGGTGTATAGGACGGAAAAATATCAAAAACTGAAAGCTGAGGTTGAAAAACAGAGTAAAAAACGTAAGTCTCGAGTTTTAGTTCTGAGGCTGAATAAAGGAATGATGAATTATATTTCATGTTATCGTGTTTCCATGCAGTGGAGAAAATGAAAGAAGCACATGGGGACTCACTGGATAAGCAACAGAAAAAGAAGATTGAACGGGAAGAGGAGAGACTGAAAAATAATAATCGAGACTTGTCGCTCGTTAAAATGAAGTCCATGTTTGCGATTGGTTTTGCATTTACTGCTCTTTTGAGCATGTTTAATAGCATCTTTGACGGCAGAGTAGTTGCTAAGTTACCGTTTGTGCCTATTGGCTGGATTCAAGGAGTTTCTCATAGGAATTTACCTGGTGACGATTACACGGAGTGTTCCTTTATATTTCTGTACTTACTTTGCACCATGAGTATCAGACAAGTAAGCATATTTTTTCTCTTTTGAATTTCTTTTCAATCGCAAGAAAGTTCTGTCTAATTAATTTTATCTTTATCAAAGACTTTTATAATTAAATATTTATTATGTATTTTTCAGAATGTTCAGAAGATGCTAGGGTTTGCTCCATCCAGAACAGCGAGTAAACAAAGTGGAAGCATCTTTGGTCCTCCGCAGCAGCAATTCAAGTAATGTAAAGCCTGAGGAATACAAATAAATCAATTAATATATTTACTATGTGGTTGTGAACTCAATTTAAATGTGGAATAGGTTTAAATATAGGAATGCATGAATATCTGCAAATTCTGTGTTAACGTAAATCATGTAGTTTCGTATTAACACTGTATAAAACGAAAGTTTTTCATTTGTGCATATTGATTGATATCTATTGAGGTTAGTAATAATAACAATGGTAATAACAAAAACAAATTTACTGTCTCCTTAAAAGTATCACAAATTTCAACAAGAATATTACAGCTACATGTTACAAATCAATTTATTTATTAAGGCAGTATTTTATAAAACAATAATTGAATATATCTACAAGTCACTTCATATGTATATAAATTTATGAAGCAAATTTGTGTTCTTTTGGTGGATGTAATCAGATTTGCTAGCAATAATATGTATATCAAATTAAACTCACAATTTAAAGGCACAATTAATTAGTTCACTTATGATACACTTTTTTGAGTCAGAAAACATATCAACGATGACTAGTTTTACTCTGTGCAAAGTGGGTTCGATTTTGCCGCATGAAAATAATATCAGTTTTAAAATTAACTAATAAACCTTTACAGATCCAGTATAAAATTGTTAGAATCAAAAAGTTGTAAAACATCTTTATGATTTCACTAGACTATATTTACTTCTTCCATGGGTTCCAATGTTACAAATCTATCAAAACTCAATCTGGATAAATCTATTGTAACAAATTTTGAATTAATAAGTAATTCAGAGATTGCGCGGCCTACAGCCGGTGCTTGTTGGATGCCATGACCACTAAAACCAGTTGCTATGTACATATTTCCATAATATGGATGGGGTCCAATTATACCATTTTCATCGAATGAATTGTACTCATAAAATCCGGCCCAAGACGACTTCACCTGAAATTAGAAAGCGATCAGTAGGTTAGTCAATAAGATAATCCACATGCAAGCGTGTGTAATATTTATTTAATGGTAATTAAAACTTCATAAGGTTTTACCTTTATATTTTCAAATGCTGGAACTCGATTTGCAAGAGGAGGCCAAATTTTGTTACGGAAGAAATCATGGTCTACCTCTAAATCAGCTGTCAGAGGCTCCTCATCTAGATCTGGTGACCGTCCACAGATATAATTTCCTTGTAGTCCTTCCCTCCTAAAGATCAAGAAGCCTTTATAAATATGAGAGATTTACAAAATATGAGCGATTTAAAACAGCAATTTTACCTGAAGTATGTTCCCGTTGGGTCTACGGTTAAAGGTGTGTTAAGTCCAGGGCCATTGTGACAGTGGAAACAGTACACAAATCTTTTTCTGCAACAGTTATGAGATTTAAATTAAGAATTGCTTAGGTTAACAAAATATACATAAATTTAATATTCAGGAGCTGCTATGCTTATTGTTAATTTGTAAAACAAAGGTAACTAATTTACCTAGGCTCTACTGGCAAAGGTATTGATAATAACCCTTTGTCATGTCCTATTCTAGCCATTTTGGCAACTTCTGCACTAAAAGCACCAGCTGCTATAATAACTGTAGCAAATGTTATAGTCTTTATCGTTCCACATTCTGTTTTAACCTATCACAATAAAAGAATACATTGAGTGTTATTATAGAAAAACATTATTATCACATTAATTGCATACTAACTTTCAATTTAACTGGTTCTTCGTATGTGTCAGTACCAACTTTAATCATATTACCAGATATTTTATTGAATTCAAAACCTATAGCTTCCCCATTAACATAATGGGCTCCTAAATCAAGTGCTTTCCTTTTAAATCCATATAATAGCATCCATGGATCAAACCAACCCTCTTGTTCGAGTCCAAGGCAGCCTAGAGCAATACCGTCGGTGTTCAACCATGGAAACCGTTGTTTTAATTTGTCTGGTTTAAGTAAAATGTTGTTCGCTCCAAGGGAGTTTTGGAGGTCTGAGTTCCTGCTCATTATCTCTGCACCTGCCTCGGATGCAAGAAAGAGATAACCATTGGGATGAAATCCAAGATCTAGGGGATCATCCTTGTCAACATTTAAATATTCATTTGCATTGCGTATAAACTCTGCTCCAAATAACGACATTTCAATGTTTTCTGGAAGAGAGAATTGTTGACGAAGACCACCGACAGACAGAACCGAGGATGCGTGCTTGTACTAAAATTATAAGGTATTATAAATCTTCCGATAAATCAACAAATATAGAAAAATATATTTAAAAAAGACATCTTACCAAAGGATCCCTTTCAATAACCGCAACATTGAGACCGTCTTTCGCTTCTTTCTTCAACCAGTACGCTATAGAACTTCCTATAGCACCGCCACCAATAATGACCACATCGCAATGATATGGAAAAGGTCTCTGCAAATCTCGCCATTCACTCTTCGATAAATTCCTCTTTAATATGTGTTTCCACTTTGCCTTATAATACAACAATTCATTCTTCAGGAGCTGTACAGTTTTCTTAAGCGGATGATTAGGCATTTGTTTGTCACCTGCATCGGTATCATTTTCACTCTGGTGTATCGATCGCAGCAGACAGAAAATCCAAAGATTATTACACCGTTAGAAGACTAACTGCATACTTAAAATCAATTAAACATTGCAGAATTCTCAAGCTAACATCTCGTTACAATTACTGTTAGCTTTACTCGTAACTCACAAACTACGGAAAATTACAAGAGGCCGCAGCAACGACAATCTCGAGCAAATATTAACTCAAGTGCATTCTTTCAAACAAATGAGACTGATAAATCTTATCAGATAGTTACCTGCGTTGAAAAAGCACTCGACGTTTTCGTGATTTTAGGTTTGGAGGAAACGAGGATTCGATTTCCCTGGCTGGCGAGGCGGACGAGTTGCCGGAACATTTTACACTTTCCTGGGAGAATGAGTTAAAATCAAGTTAATTTCTAATCTTACGAGGCATGCTTTTCTGTGCTTGCATTCACCCGGCGCTTCGATGCAGTCTGCTGCACTCAAGTACCCTAGCGGTACTAAACTTGACTAAACTCGACTAAACTCAACTAGACCCTCGAAGCATGCACTTGATAAGAAGGAAAGAGGGGATAGAGCGAATATGAACGACACTAGATACTATGATACTAATGTTTACTGTTGACGTCACAATGTTTAACATTCTAATGCTGCAAAACCATGTGCAACTTAGCGTGTCGTAATATTCCGATCTGTATCGCGCGCAAAAAAAAAAGGAATGCAAAGAACTTCAGGTGTCAACCAATCGCGCATGCGCACCATTGCGCGGGGATTTCAAATTTCGCGCGCCAACCGTTACGCAATACTGGCGATATTGAACTTGGCTATTATGGCCGAATGAAATCTTATCGAGTATTTTGCTTCGTTGTGCCACAAGCAATTCTGCGTACAAGATTAGAGAAACATCCCATGTTCTTATCTCTTTGTTCGATTATATGAAAGTCCTGGATAACGCAACGGATCGTGAACTCTGTTGATTTATTGCAGTTGGAGTGAATTTCAAGTCGAGATGGTCGAATACGTGGTCCCGTGCCTGCGATTTTCGACCATTAGGAAACTCGGCAAAGTTTCGCGCCAAATACATTTGTGAATATTATTACATATACTTGATGGGTTACTTTACATAGGCTTAACCATCAGTAGTGGTATATATCATACGATGCCGCAGAAAGAAAGGGGTGCAACACATATAATCAGCACATTTTTCTTTCCATTAACGGGAATTATATCGACTTCTTATAACTTCTAAATATTATGATTTCAGTCACTTCATCCGATACATACAAAACTTAAAAATCATGGAAGAAACAGTCTTCGAAGACTTTAAAAGTTGGTGTGTCGTCCAGCTGACGAAAGGCATTCCAAAAATATTGGAGCAGAAACTCCAACATAACGGTATATCAATATATTAATTTTATTACACTAAGTATTTCTCTAATAAATTTAATACTACAGGTGTGTCTATATCCTCTCAGGGTTCAAAGGGGAGAGAGGCAAATGGCGAGGCAGCATTCCAGCTCTGTGATATTTATGCCAAGTGGTATACATCATCACCCAAGAAAACTCAGAGTCGACGACCTTGTCCATGGCATGTCGAAGGCAATTCCGGAGGCCCTTTAAATCAGACCTGGAAGAGAGAATTGCCCGCGCTCAGATGGTAAGCTCCAAGATTTCGAGTTCAAGAGCCAGTAATCAAAGTTGCCGCAGTTTCGGCAGAACGAGGGCGAGTAATCCCCAAGAAGAATCTCACGTAGCGTACGGGAGATTATTTTTGGCGCGGGCCGGGCACTCGCGCGGTCGTCCAGGCGAGGCGACTAACGTTACAGTTAAAGCTCGATTCGAACACCACCTAGGTCGCGATCGCGAGTAGCTTATCTCATTCCTTGTCATTTTCCAGTTTCGTCCGAGGATTGGTGAGAAGAGAACGAAGCTGGCCCCTGCGTAGACCCGTTAATGAGGTCGATGGGAAGGTGGCGATCTTTGGTGGGTCTGTAAATACTTGCGCGGTGGTCCAGGTGAGTCAACTAACGTTACAGTTAAAGCTCGAGTTAAATACCTCCCGGGTTGCAAGCGTGAGTATCTTCTGGCATTCCTCGTCAGTTTCCAGTTTTGAATACCGATGAGAAGACATTGGAGCTGGACCCTGCGAAAATTCGTTAATGAGGCCGGAGGAAAGGCGGCGATCTTCGGTGGATCTCTGGGGTCTCCTCAAGAGCGCGGCTGGAATTCGTTCCTGGACCAGGTGGTGCGTTCGAGGAAGGAACGAGGAGACCGAAGATTCGGTCGCCAAGACGTCTCCGAAAACGGGTTCGAAGGCCTCGGGAAGTGCGACCGTGCGGAGCTTCTTCGGACGCCGAAAGTGCCTCAACGTTGTCGACTGCGGGAACGAGGGGTGAGATGTGCTTCTTCAAGAATCAAACGCAAAAGACCCTTATAAATATCGCACTGCCAGTGTACAGGGGGAAGGCGTACATTCGATCCAATTACAAGGGGTAACAGAATTCGTGTAATTTTTTTTACGGTGCTAGTGTGCCAGGAATAATTTATTGAGAAATAGCCAACCAGCCCATTGAATAACTCGATTAACAATGTCGAAGGATATTAAATGTAACGCACATAATATCGCTACTGAGCGCAATTGACATTCGGCTAATCGATGAACCCGGTCGACTATTTTTCACTAAATTATTACGGGTAACTATGCACTGCAGAAAAAAAGTGTACATAACTTTTTAACTCCTTTATTAATAAGGTTAGCGATGAATCCTGGCCACGGATTCTGTAACGCTCTGCGATGATCCTTACAAGTAATACCGATTCTTCGGCAGGAAGGAGACCCGCTCGAGAAGCGATCCGCGACCAGGTCGGAAGTGTTCGATGCGGCGGATTTCCTCATACTCGGCCTCCCTTGATCCCAGTTACCAAGATGGCCAACGTGTATCCAGTCCGGATAATGTCTTCGACCTGGACTACGACTCTTATGACGACGACGAGGAATTTCGGTGTCCCAGGTGCGGCAGGAGGATGCAGGAGCCGAAACTCCTGCCCTGTCTGCACCCCATGTGCACTCGATGCGTCGACGAAGCGACTTCCCACGGTACTATAAATGTCTCATCACAAATGACACTAATTACAAGGGCGTAGTAATTAAATAATCGTTTCATCGAGCTAGGCATCGACGATCGCGAACGGCGTATTTGTCGGGATCCGTCGTTCCGGCAACAGGAAGAAGGATGTCCTATCTGCGAATTTCCTTTGGCGAATCTCTGCTCCGTAGCTTTGCCTCCCCATTACCCTCTTCAGCATCGACTGGTCGTCAACACGGTGAGAAGGCGAATGGCGCTGGCAGGTCGAATTGTCTGCTGCGACGTCTGCTCCGAGGAGGTCGAGGTGAGAGTCAAAAAAAGGATCTATTAATCTCCTTGAAATGATAATTAAATAATTTAAAACCGACCATTTCCCCAGGCATCGGTGCACTGTCCGGTCTGCCTGCGCAACTTGTGCTTCACCTGCGGATCCGAGCACGAGCGAAAGCGAACCCTGGAGGACGACATCGGGCATCGCGTTGGGCCCCTCAGGGAAGCAAGAGGCATCCGGCGAACCGCGCTCTGCTCGATGCACCCTTCCCACGTGTTGCGCTTCTACTGCATCGCCTGTCGCCAAGTAAGAGTCGACAATCCTGACGAGGGAACGTTAAAAATACAGGAAGACTCGTGTACAGGTGACGTGCAGGGAATGCACGTGGAGAGGCGAGCACAGAGGACACGCGAGCGAGGGCGTCTCCGGAGCTGGCAGACGAGCGGCGATCTTGCTGAGTCGGGCACTTCAAAGAGCAGAGGCGTTCCTGAAGACCGTGGACTCCTTCGAGTCCTTCGGGTCCTTCGAGTCGTCGCCATTGATGGAACCTCGGAGCAGATTCCACGACTCCGAGCCTGGGTTCCAAACGGAGGAGTGCAGCCCGGTCGACAGGTTCTTCAGGCACGATTTGTCCTCTGATAAAAATCGATGGAAATTTACATACACTTTTGCCCACACTTATGACTGAAAAACGTAAAGCCGATAAGCTTAGAAATTAATAAACCGTATAAATACATGCAACACTGTGTATTCACCGTATCAGTGCATTTTTGCTTGAATTACTTGTAACATCACGTTGTAATTCTCTTTAACTTAACTTAGACGCCGAATGTGACATTACGGTGGCAATATTAATTTTACTGCAGTTTATTGTGGCATCAAAGTAAGATTATGTAAATTTACACAGGCATTTTTATCAGTGCTCATCAGCTCGTCGGCGTGTCTTTCTCGTGTCAATACAGCTCTTCTGGTTCTTCTTACAGGTATTCCGAAGGACTCTCCACGATGAGAGGGTCGAATCGCTGCGAAATCCAGTCCTCCGAGTCGTCCCACGCTGACGAGGCTCAGGAGAGGATTCGAGAGTTTGCGCGAACGAAGAGGATCCGGTACATTCTTGAAGCCGTGTCTCTGGGAGAAGAGCTGCTTGCCGATGGCTCTCCTGTTGAGATTCTCAGCCTGAGTGCGTTCATTGTCGAGAGGCTGCAGAGCCTTGGAGTCGGGTCCGGGTCTGGTAGGGAGAAGAGCGGTTCCACTTCTTCTGCTTCCTCTTCATCCCTCAGACTGAGGATAATTCTTCGTTGTGTTCTTTCCACGTTTATCTAGAGAGCTTTGAGGGCAGTCCTGGAGGTCGCAGCGCGTCAATGCATCGGCACACCGGGGTGTATCATTGCTGCACCTTTTGTTCAAGTGGGGGACGCAAGGAGGCCGCATGTGCTTGCAACGGCACCATGCCTGGTAATTCCAGTTTCCTGTTAATTGATGTTCAAATTAGTGTATGTCTAGGTTTTAATACTTGCTTGGTTCCAGGTGGATACAAGGGCTGCGGCCATGGACATCCCGGTCACCCTGGGGTGAAGCATTGGTCTTGTTGCGGGTCTCCCCATCGATACGACAAATGCCCAATCAGGCGGAAACGCTCTCATCGAGTAATACTCTGATCATGAATTTGTCCCTAATGAAGATCAACGCAACATTTAATGAACTCATTAACTCGACACGATATGTTGACTCTCTGCCATGGGGTAGACGAACTTTTGATCCTTAAGCGTATACTCTACTGGACGAGAGCGATGCACGCTTCGTGTATTAAACATGTATATACAGTATATAAACACGTATGCAAATTCCATACAAGAGTTCGTCAGAGTCTTACAAGTTTAGAATAGATTATAGAGGCGGGTTACCCGAATATAATCAGAGAACATAGACGATGAGTTAGAGGCCCATGAGAACGGTACTGGCAGTGACGGGAGTCTGGGAGGGTGCACTGGCCTGGCGAACACTCATCTCCCAAGTGTCCAGAAGCTGTGATACGGAGAATCTTCTAGGCAGCTTCGCGATGCGCGCGTCAAGGGCTTTCTGCACTGCGCAAAGGAATGCCGTGGCATATTCATGGGGAGCCATCACGCAACGGGGCGGTGTCTGAGGATAATCAGCAGGTACCATCACCGACACGGGCGGGACACATGGTAGATGACGGTCATCCAGCCAGCAGATTAGCTGGACACATTTGGAGCCGTTTTGTTGGGCAGGGTCGAGGCTCACCTACAGGGAAACAGAGTTTATTGTTGCCTGTCTTTGCTTTTCGTCTAACGTTGATGTGTAACCACGAGCTCACCTTGAATCTCTGATCCAGACGCGCGATTTCTCCTTGGAGGATGTCGGGAATATCGCTGACGGACTCTTCGATCTTCTGCTTCTTCAGTGGCGGTGGTAGGTTCCTGTAACAAGGAACTCATGGTGATAACTGCCCTTTTGACGTGATCTTTGATATCATACGGTATATCTAGTCAATTCGATTTACTTGATCTCTGGTCCGAAGAGAGCCTCCAAACAGGGTCCGAAAGTCCTCTGGAGGGTGTGATTCGCCACAGGACTTTGAAGATGGGAGTTGACGGCTTCCAGAAGTGCACTGAATATGTGGTGCTCCTTCACAGTAGTAACAGGGGGTCCTACGCTGCCGTCTCCTCTTTTGAAGTCCAACTTCTCTAGGACGATCTCGCATTTCACGAGGGTGTCCAAAGGCACTCTCTTACTAGGGTTCGATAATATCTCCAGGAGCTTCTTCATCTTGCTCTGTTTGTCCACGTCTACAGGAATAAGGACGGTTAGAACTCTCCTTCCATTGTTAGGTCTGTTAATTGAAAATTATTAGACTTACTTCCGTCATTTCCCATCCTCGCGATCATGCGCCTCAGAGGCTCGATGTACTTGCACAGCTGACGGACTTTGTCTCTGTACGCTTGGTCTTCTTGCAGCGGACTTGGTGTTGCACCTACGCCTCCTGGGGTGTTCAGAGAGCTGCTTGGAGATGGTGCCATGCCTGAAATGCAAATCGTTATCTTACACCATTCCAATTAGTTTGAATTTCGCTTCATCTATTTTTAGACCACCCACCGACTGATCGTTGAGGTCCTGCCATCATGGGATGCTGAGGACTCGGTGAGGAGACCAGTGCAGGAGATGCCACCATCTGGTTACTGTGGAATTTTAAGATAAAGTTAAGAAAACCTGAAGGATCTGACCTGTTTAGCCTCCATGTCTGTGAATTTGTGGAAAGTTGAATTGCGTAGAAACGTTTACCTTCCGGGAGCTCCCAATCCAGCAGGACTCGGTGCAGATGGAGATGGACTTTGTCGTAGAAACTGGTTAGGTGTGACGTTTCGTGGGCCTGCGAATCCTGCATTTAACATCTCAGCAGGCTGAAATGTATAATTCCAAGACTAGTATTCTTCTTTATAACGCGTGGATAAAATTTGTGCTTTTTCTCACCTTTCGTTGTATGTGACCGAGTTGCTGCTGCATTTGATTAGGGCCCAATTGTCCAGGGCCCATTTGGTTTATCTGTTGAGTCAATGCTCCCTGCATAGAGCCAGCCATGGGTCCTCCCATCTGATTCCCTGGCACTTGCTTCTGTATTTGGCCTTGTATCTGATTCTGAAGAGTACGGTAATTTCTTCGAGTTGTAGGTCTAGGCGATTTTGAAGCAACGATTCATTGTTACATACCTGCATGTTTTGTTGCATTTGACCTGTTCCCATCTGACCAGGGCCCATCTGACTGAGCTGTCCAGGTCCCATTTGATTCATTTGCTGAGGCATGCTGTTCTGAGACATCTGAGTAATTTGAGTTAGCATCGGACCACCCTGCATTCCCTGCATAGGACCCATATGACCCATTGGTCCTCCGGTTTGGGTTTGCATCATTCCCATTCCTGGCATTTTATTTTGCATACCCTGCATGTTCATCGCTTGACCTGGACGTTGATTTAGGCTCTGCAGAACTGATGTGGTATCCAAGAAAATTAAGGAATTTCAGTAAAGAAATACTAAAACATGATAATAATGAATATAACAAATTATATTTGAACTTACGATTCGTAGCAGTATTTGTTTGAGGTTGAGGGACCATTCCTTGCGGTCCAGGGCCTGGTCCATTCATACCCATCATTTGATTATTACCTGTTCCCTGTCGAGCCATAGATTGCAGGGCTCCGATTGGATCTGGCATACCTTGGCCACCCGTACCCCCAGTACCTGCTGCCATTCCCCCGCCACCTTCCTTTGCATCTAATAAAACAAAGTGTCATTATAAACTGATGTAAACGAAAGATATAGTTACAGATTCAGCATATGAACTTACTCATTTCCCGAACGCGTATGATTAACCTGGCCACAAATCCCAGGTACTCGTCCTGTAAGGAGAGGAAAAAATAACCAATTCAGTCACTCATAGTACACAAAAAAAGTACGTAACAATGGGAATCAGTAATACCTTATTTTTTGCCTTTTGAAAGACATGATTTTCCATATCGACACTGTTCTTTGACGTTGGCATGCCAATCTTCTGAAATGCTTCGTCTCTGTACATAAATAAGCATATGAATGGATGATGACAAGTAAATAGAGTACTGTCTGTTTTGTTCTCTAGTTACAATTTATCTTACATTTTTGCGATGACGTTCTGTCTGAACGCTGGCGCCCGCCAAGACGTTTCCTCAGCAGCCATCGTAAGGAACTCAGTGTTTGTGAAACGTACGAAAAGTAAATTAATTCGTCGAAACTGTTGTCAATAAATTGCCTTCTTAATTTACGTTCCGTAATACATGGATTTGTCTATGCGGCTTGATTATTGATAACCTTATCACAGAAATTGGCACTGCAACAATTCGAATACTGATGGTCTAGAACTATTGATAATCTCTTCACTGTATTTAACAGATTTCGGCTCCAGTCATGATCTTAGTATGTACCAGCGTTTATAACCGTTGATAATGTTAACTGCTGACGTGCAAAAAAGTCAGAAATAAAGAGCATAGGCCGTGAAACTTTATAGAAAGCCCATGGAACTGGATAGACTAACCAAGACTGGGTAATTAAAATCAGAGATGAGTTGGGAGATTGCTCACTGGTAAAATACCCAAGATAATTTATGTAGTTTTTTTACAATAAGTTACTAAGTATTTGATGTAACGAATTTTGCACAACAGGTCATTTATTATTTACAAAAGTTTGTTATAAACAAAATATTAACATAGGTGGGAGATTCAGTTTTTTGAGCAAGTCGTTGCCACCTTATCCCCGCATAGTATGGACCAGAGATGAGTTGGGATGGCTTACGGGCAGGATCGTGCGATCGCATCCTGTGCTGCTCTCTGGTTTCGTACGTTAGCTTTCACCGTTTTTTGCCCCCAAGAGCGGCGCAACGAATTTCTGATAGAAGCTCGCGCACTCACGATGGCGGTACCATCTACCAGTCGCCATTGGCGGCTCACGTACTCGTGATGGTAATAATACCATGCGGCAGTTGACGGTGGTGGCTTACCTACGCTTACCGATACTGCTCGCTTTTGATGGTAAGGGAAGAACACTCGTGACGCTCCATTTGATTTTATCTACTTACTACACTCTAATTATGGCACTGTAATTAGAGTGCAACTGCATTCCAATGCACTCTAATGCAATATAATGCACTCTACGGAACTGTATGGCACTCTAGGGAACTCTAGGGCACTATAGGGCACGCTAGGGCACTTTACGGCACTCTACGGCACTCTGCGGCAACTCTCCGGCACTCTCCGGCCCTCTCCGGCCCTCTCCGGCCCTCTCCGGCACTCTGCGGCAACTCTCCGGCACTCTCCAGCACTCTCCGGCACTCTCCGGCACTCTGCGGCCCTCTCCGGCCCTCTTCGGCTCTCTTCGGCTCCCTGCGGCAACTCTCCGGCACTCTGTGGCACTCTCCGGCACTCTCCGGCACTCTCCGGCACTCGGCGGCACTCTAGGGCAACTCTCTTACTCTCTCCGGCACTCTCCGGCCCTCTGCGGCACTCTGCGGCAACTCTCCGGCACTCTGCGGCACTCTCCGACACTCTTCGGCACTCTGCGGCAACTCTCCGGCACTCTGCGGCACTCTCCGACACTCTCCGGCACTTTGCGGCAACTCTCCGTCACTCTCCGGCACTCTCCGGCCCTCTCCGGCACTCCGACACTCTCCGGCACTCTCCGACACTCTCCGGCACTCTGCGGCAACTCTCCGACACTCTCCGGCACTCTCCGGCCCTATTCGGCACCCTGCGGCAACTCTCCGACAGTTTCCGGCACTCTCCGACACTCTGCGGCAACTCTCCGACACTCTCCGTCACTCTGCGGCAACTCTCCGGCACTCTGCGGCAAGTCTCCTACTCTCTCCGGCACTCTCCGGCACTCTCCGGCATTCTGCGGCAACTCTCCGACACTCTCCGGCACTCTGCGGCACTCTGCGGCAACTCTCCGGCACTCTCCTGTACTCTCCGGCAAGAAATTTCGGCAGAAATTCGTTGCGCCGCCCTTGGGGGCAAAAAACGGTGAAAGCTATCGTACGATACCAGAGAGCAGCACAGGATGCGATCGCACGATCCTGCCCGTGATCAGTGTCCCAACTCATCTCTGTCCAAATATTATCCACAGATTCGAAAACTGTGTTCTCATTTTTCAAAACGTAAACCAACAGTACAATATAATTCTGTACATAATTATTTATTGGATTACGTATACATTTTTTTTTTTTAGTTTATCATGAAATTTGAAGTTGCTCTGTAGTTTTGATCGATGGTGGTGCCATCTCACGAAGGAAGAATTAGTATTACAGGTTACTATAAATTTCGACTTCTATTAATTTTATAACGATTGATCTTCAAGGTATATGTGAATTCGAAGATTTAAGAAAAATACAGTGAAATTATATCGCGGCATATTTACGATTTGTGTATGGTGCACGTGATTTTGGAAAAGAATGCAACTAAAGATGTCGAAGACTTTTAACGCTAAATTAGCGCAGAGAATATTAGAAGTGGAGAACAAATACATTTCAAATTTGTTTTCGAAAATGGCTCTGCCCATGTCCGAGATAGGTGAGAATTTATCACAAGTGCTCCTAACCTGGAAAAGTGTGTTCAACGAAGCGCTTTTGACACCAGATTTCTCTGAATTACAGTGCAACTAGAAGAGGAATCCGAACCTGAGGAACAACCTACTAAAAAGAGTAAATAGCCACGTAAAAGTCACTGGGATTTTTTTATTGTAATGCTTATCGAGTGAACATGTTCTTTTGTTACAGGGAAAACGATTCCGGGTCATGGCGATGGTGTTAAAAGGGCACAAACATTCGAAGAGCTGCATGGAAGGCTCGAAGCGTTGAAGGGTAAAAAGCTGGATTATAAGCAAAAGCTTATTAAGAAAGGCTTGAAAAATAGAATAAAGAAAAAGACAAAACAAGGAGAACGTGCTCTCCAAAAGAAACTTGCAAGAATAGAGCATCATGCCTCAGGAGGAGCAAAAATTAAGGTTGAGGAGAACGGTAGCGTAAAACCTGTCCCTAAGCCAAAGCCAGTATTCAACTCTGAAGGCAAAATGGTATTTAGCAAGTTTGATTTTTCCGAAATCGGGACGAAGAAGAAACCTCCCAAGACAGAGAAAGATCCTAAAAAGGTTTTGCAACAAATAAAGCAGAGGAACGAAAAATTAAGACAATTAGAACAAACTGGGGAGAAGGATAAAGCGGTGGAAATTAAGGAGAAAGAAGCATGGAAGACTGTACTAGCGAAAGCTAGTGGACAAAAGGTGAAATGTTAAACGTAGATCATTGTACAGATTATATTGTACGAGTTTTTACCTTCTTTTCCTTAACAGGTGAAGGATGATCCTGAATTATTAAAGAAAACTATGAGGCGAGAGGAACAGAAAAAGAAGCACAGTGCTAAAAAATGGGACTCGAGGCTACAAGCAGTCGACAAGGCAAAACAGGAAAGGCAGCAGAAACGGCAAGAAAATATCATGAAGCGGAAGAAGGAAAAGAAGGTGAACAAACTAAAGAAAGCATCGAAAAAGGGCAGGGTTATACCTGGGTTTTAGTTATTTTTAAATTGTTTAATATTTACTACGGTCGATATTGTTGCAAACTACTGTAAACCGAAACAGTGCATTCGTGCAGGCGTTGTGCCAATGGAATAGTTCTTCGTTTATTAACGTTCCAAAACAAGACTTCCGCTTAGGAGAAAGATTAAACTGTAATTTTCTACCGCAAGTTATATACATCATTGGTTGTGTACAAATTGTGTACATGCAATGTAACAATCTAGTCCATGGTGCAGCCTGTCTACTGGTTTTCAACGTACCTCGATTTCGAGCAGGAAACAAGGTATTCATTTTCGTCGAAAGAATCGTAGACTTTCATTGCACGATGACATTGCACAATACGACTGAGATGTACAGTTTATTAAATACAGTTTCGATATATATATATTTACACATTATTAACAAATTTATTTACACAACAGTGACATGGAGTCGTAAGGTTGTTGGGGCACAGCCCGCATTAGAAGTCCTGGCTTCGTGTGCTTTGGTTTATCATCGTATAAAGCCTCGCTGACGTGCGTCCTTTACGTAAAGCGAGGCAGGTCGGTATAAAATACAACTCTTGGACTTTGTAACGAAACTTAACATTAGCCGCGGCTACCTTAAGCTACTTTAGACTAGACACTTGTTAACGTGTAGGAGGTACCTTGCAAAGGCCTGAACACATCAGAAAACATGGACATTTTGTTTCGTATCGGTCCACTTAATGTTTCAAAAAACTGATGCATTACGTGTTTCAAGTTCCTCCGGGGTAAGCTTGTACCAGATCCATTTCACTTGTACGAATAATCACTGCTGATCAGCGGATTTTAAATTCGTAGTTTCGTCGACATTTACGGCGTTGAAGAAATGCTGTCCATGGTGACACTTTTAAGTTAAGTTCGTGGGCAGCGAAATGTGCAGAGGTGTTCATTAAGTCAGTAGATAATAGGCAGATCGAAGACCAGAGCCTGGATGAACTCCGTCGACTCTCCACCCACGTCTTCCTGCTAGGTATCTCCCAAATCCGTCGTCAACATGTTGCCGTTGGTCAAGGCCGACCATAATGGGCTGCAATCCACCGGTTCTGGCACCGTCAATACCATCGAAACTCGCGGCGACCTGCGCATAAATTACATTTATAAAATAATCCTTAACAACAATTAGTACCTAGGAGGTTTTATCGCAGATTTGGCATACGTTCATGAAAAGTTACGACGTGCTGCCAAGGCGACGTGTGTTATTTTTATCTTAATAATCGAATAACTAAAAGTCACTGCACCGAGGAGAGTGGTATCGGTGTATTTATATTACCAGCCAGATTCGCAATTTTATGAAATTCGCCTTGTATGAAAATAGCCGCAATATCTTCGCCGCGTTATGGGAATTCTCGTTGGAATAACTTGCGTTATATGGGACTCTATCGTATGTATGACGTTTTCGTAACACCTTAAATCGTCAATTGTACTTTCACGTCAGAGTGTAACTGATAAACTATTCTACCGTCTGCGGATCATATTGTACGCATTGTCGGCGTGAAGTCGGCGGGTGCGAGTAATGCTTTATCGCTCCTAGAGGTGGGTGCCTTCTCCTCGATGGCTTCAATACCTTGACGGTGCCGGAACCGGATGCTAATCGGGGCTACTGAGTTCCACGGCCGTGCTCTGTTCAGGGTCGGATCGTTCCTCGACGACGGTGTCCAGGTTCAGGGCAGGAAACGCCCTGGAGCCTCGCTCGCTTCTGAAGGACACCGCTCTAGTAGTCCTTTCTACTCCAGCTGGTGGAAAAAAAAATCAACCTCTTATGTATTCATATGAACTTCAGATTTCTCACATTTCATTTAAAACGACTGCGGAGAGCAACAGGTCAGCTAGCGTACGCGTCTCTTTCTATCCGCAAGCGGTTCAGCCGGAACTGTTTCAGCGATATCTCTAAATCTACACGAAAAGTATATGAACTGTTAAAAATGTCTGTTGGAAATTTAGTTTACGCGTCGAAGTTTTTTTTAAGGTAGAATATTTGTATCTTTTAGTATACAAATGATCGAATTTAATACTTATTCAATTTCGAAACATCCTGTTTACTTATTTTTGACCGTACACTGGGAGACATCAATGCCCTCCCATCCTGCACAGGCGATGCCGTATCTGCAGGGGAGGCATTTATGTCCGCCATTGTACACTGGGAGACATCAATGCCCTCCCATCCTGCACAGGCGATGCCGTATCTGCAGGGGAGGCGTTCATGTCCGCCATTATACATGCTTCAGCGATCTCTAAATCTACACGAAAAGTATATAAACTGTTAAAAATGTCTGTTGGAAATTTAGTGTATATAGTATACAAGTAGATTTTTTCTTTTCCTACACTTCGATTCGGAAGAGTTCGAAACATCGAAGCATTTTTAACAGGGTAGAACACAATTTATATACTGGAAAAAGATTAGTTGACTGAAACAAATATATGTCGTTGTCTGAATATTATTTTGTTGAGAAGAAAAATTAACGATTTAAAGTAATTGTTGACTTTAAATAATTTCGTAAACTTAATCTGATATTTCTTCGGAAGTTTTTGATTCTAGGACTTTGTTGTAGCATATTGCTTTGAGCCAACCAATCTTCTTTTTCTCAGTGTATGAATAAGAGATGAAAAACGATAACAATGCGCGCTTAAAGGAAGGTTTTTCTCAAAGCCAAGCGAGATTACGCGGCCTGCAGGATATCTCTTTACCTATGTCCTCTTTAGAGGCTGCCGCTGGACAAAAATGAACATATCAGTATAAATTGTATTCTCCGAAATTATGATATCAACCGACACGTCGATAGCTATCTCTATCCTTGGACCTTTAGGGTGTTATGAAAGTGTCATGTATACATATACATCAAGATATCAAAATATTTATAAAATCTTTCCTCCAAATGGGATGTGCCGAATAATTTGAAACTTTAACACGTGATTATGGAGGTCCTTATGAAACTCTTGAAATTTGATCTTTCGAAAGAAAAAGAGAAAACGAAATGTTTATCCCGGACAAGAACCAGAAAAAGTTCTTTTTTTGAAAAATGTAATCCAGTTTCAAGACCTTCATTAAGACCTCCATAATGACGTGTTAAAATTTCAAATTATTCGGTGTACCCAGTTAGGGGAAAAGTTTCATCATTATTTTGACGTTTTGATATATCAAGAAACCCGGTAGAGTTTCGAGTCACAAAAGTTTGAGCGAGAAACTTGTGTTGAATATGTAGAATGACCCTTTCATACCACTTTAATCTACTTCCCTAGGGCGGAAGGTCTTGAGAGCGTCCCTTCAAAAGACGAGTCAAATAAATGACGTTCCTCGGGGGAAGTTAATGTCCAGGATTCCCGGTCAAGCTTGTCGAAGGTCGAAGTCCTTGAGAAGGATTCAATCTTCCTTAGTGTCGCATCGGCCTTCCTGTGTCATTATTCTTTGCCGCTCGAGAGCGTCCAAAACCGATTCGGCGTACAGTGGCGGACATGAGGGTCTTCTCATCGCACCCTGGTGGTGGCATGTCTGCATTGAAGGCATTTATGTCCGCCCGTGTACATCAGGACGCAGAAAAAAAAAAAAAACTCAGTCGCAACGAATAATTCCACTTGCTTCAGCATACTTGCAACAACAAACGTTTGAACACTTGAAATCGGACCCAGGAAAATTTTCGTCAATTTGAGAACAAGAATTATTTTACCGAACAAATGCAATATTCTCTTCCAGCAACAACAAATTCTATATCGCTCGTTTGTTTGAGTAGGGACAATGGTATACTTTTTTTGCGGTCTCTGCGAGTTTCCTTGCTAATTTAGGAAACACTTTTCCTAAATAAAGCGTTACACCGGTTACATTTACGTTCGATATACTTGCAAAGATTTGTCGCTGTTGATGCAATTATTCCTGCGGTAGGAGGACAAATTTATCAGCGATGTTGTCCTTTGGTGAAAGTGCAAAATTGGTTTATCTCCGGGCTGAAGAGGAAAAGGTTGACACGACGCTGGGCCGAGGTCATCGTAATCGCGACTACGTGCAACTCGAGGGAGTGCACTCGCCTTTTCGTACCTAAACGATGTACGGGGCTGAATCTCACGAGACTCAGGGCTCCGTGATCCAGGTCGCAGTTCCGCCTTCTGGCTCGTTCGCGAGCCAACTTTGCTCTCCTTCGCAAGCAGCAGATCACTAGCAGCGCGAGCAGCGGGAATCCCAAAATGGAGGAGACGATGGAGACCGTGATATGTTCCGGGGAAACTGAAACGAGAACGAACGTGACAATGTACCTTAAAAAACATAGACGGAGAAAAAAAAAATTCCATTCGACCAGAGAAATATTTCTTTGAACGGTACCAAAGGAATATTTTGTTAATTCGAAGAACAATTATTTTACTTAACTAAACTGAAAATAAATTGGATCCATAATTTCCTTTGAGCTTTTTTTATCTTTTTGCTATTAGTATCTCTTTTTAATAATAAGTTCTAATAATACGCCAAGGAGAGGCGGAAACCGACGCTCATGGGCGGCCATCTTGGATAGAGGAATACAAAGGGTCCTCATTTGAATTCGTTTCTTTTCCCCATCTAATCCGCCATGACCGCGCACGGTTGCATCGTCGGGCTATGCCGCAGCTGGGAGTTTCGCGTAACTGCAGTTTGTATGACAAATCACGGTTAATTAGTCGGGTGACCTGCGCCAGGAATTTCAGGTACGCTAGCTGTGCCAGGACGTCGGCATTCTCCGGCGGCCGCCATCTTGCCCGCCGCAGATCGCGGCACGCGGGACGCGACGCCGTCGCTAGGTGGCGCGGCGCCTTTGTTCGGTGGGTTCTTTTTAATTAAAAAGCGCGCACAGAGAGGTGCCAAGGGTGAATCCGCGGTTAAAGGGAGCCGCCCTCGATAACTGCGACGATGACGCCGGTAAAGGCGCCGGTAATTACTGCGGAGGGTATGGCAAGTTCTGCTTTTGGTTTTTCTTCTCGCGAGCCACGCGGAGCTGACATTATAGGTTTGTTCGCGATGTCTGCACTTTTAACACTCGAGGGTAACGAGGGTACTGCACTTTTCTTGAAAGGTGCAGAAGTGTAGATACACTTTCGTCGACGTCCCGAACGTCAGGTAGCTCAAGAAAGTACAAGATGGCCGATTTAGCGGAACAGTATGCGATTTTAGAACTATTCGAATCCGATGACGATGAAAATGAAGATGTAATGCTTCCTCAATCACATCTTCTAGCAAATGATGATAGTGATAATATATGATGCAGTAATACATAATTTGTATTAAATAATGATTGTACAATTTTTCAAAGATTACGAACAAACCTTATGTGGCGCGCTGCGGAGCGTCACGTGGTATGCGGGGCTCTGTCACGTGGTATACGGGTCGACGTCACGTGGTACGCGGGGCGATGTCACGTGGTACGCGCGAATGGCGCGAGATCGAAAACTGGAAATAAAATCCTCGCGATGCAGGATTCCTAGGGAGGGAATTTTCCCCGAGAATTGCGCGGAGCACGGATTGTTGCGTTTCGTATAGGGGCGCGGATCGGAATTTCCTTTTTGGGATCGTAATTGACAGCTGGCCTGGAAGGCCCGGGAAAAAGGGCGCAGCTCGGATCGATTCCCCTAGAGGCGCTGCGATCGGAAATAATGCCGACTGATACAATCGCGAGGGGTGCGCTGCAATCTCTGGAGCCACTAGTGTCTAGGCATGTCGAGGCGAGGGATGCAACCCTCTGTTCTCGAGATATTAATTGCGCAACTTTCTTTGAATTTTTCCCGGGGTATGTGCCCTTTTCGTTGCTGACATCGTAGGGTATAATGACGATGTGACACTCCTTACAGAATCCATCGCGCTTGACTTTTCATCCGGTCCCATCTCGGCTTCAGGGATGCTTTTTCATTCCCGTTTCTATGAGGAAGGAACTGCTGACTGAAATGTTATGATTATCGATTTCGGAAGGTAAGGGATATCCTAAATCGACTCGCGGGATATTTCGTCTCTTTACAGGTAGGAAATAGCGGTGACTGATATAAACGCGATGAGTGCCTTTGGAAAAGAAGCAATCACTTGAGCGGAGAAGAATTGCAATTTTATTTCTACCGATGATGAAAGACAAGCGAAACCGTAAATTGGCTCGTCTAATTTTATGCACGCCGTAAAGAAACGCATAAACCTCCCACACACGTGATTTTCACCTTCCGACTGAACTCGTAAACATTTACTACAAATATATCTGCATGAATTTATCATTTAATATCACGCGATTATTATTAATTCACAGAATTAGTGCACATGCGCATTAAATTTATAGCGCGTGCTATTCACTTTGAAAATATTTAAAAAAGTAAATGCATTAGTACGTCATGTTTGACTGAAACCTCTAACAAAAAATGTCAGAAATTTAAACCATTTCTCTCTCTCTCAACGGTGTATCATTACAGGTTGGGATGGAAAAAAACGATGACACGAGATAATAGTCTCCTGGATGCACCCTGATCTTCAGATACACGAGCGTCATCTCCGAGTCTGCATCGCAATCTACGACTGCATCTGGGTTAAGTGGAGGTTTTCGCCCTTTTCCAGTGGACTAACTAGACACTCCATTTCGAAACCTCTTCCGTTCCGTCCCTTCCCGGAGCTTCTTCCTCGGTGAACAGACCGAGAAGAGAGCAAAGAGTGCCCGAGTAATCCGGCTCACTTGTCGGTTTAATGCTACATCCCGCACGGCGCCATATTAGACCCGTGGCTTCCTCTCGGACCCCGTTAGACTCCCCTTTGACTTCCCATGGGACGAAGATTACGCTTCCCTTGACGTCCTAACGACTCTATGTTGCGGTTAATGCCTGGTTCGGTTTGAAGGTCGATTAATACGACCGCCCCCGCATGTCCGGGTCAGTTTCGAGGAAAGAAAGTGGAAATACCCCGTGCTTAATTGCTGGGGGAAAAAAAAATGTTACAATCTCGCCTCTGCGTGATAGTTACACTGTTAAAAACATTCGCAATATCTGTACACTCTTGGACTGAAAAATAACAATGTTTAGTTGTCAAAATCATGAAGGATTGCAAGTAACAGTTACGTTTTTAAAAAGTAACATGTACGTTGTTGGTTTAATCAAATTTTCTATGCTCAATCTGATATTCCTTTGAAAATTGTGACAATATTTCGGTGATTTCCAACGATTTCTCCTTACGATTCTCATGTGATCTCGAGTATTAAAATCCATGATTTCCTGAGTGGATAACCTTTTGTTGAAAATACCATCATAGATTAACCGGCGATCATTCGACAACCATTATCCGATAATCATCATTGAACAATCATCATCCGACAATCGCCTGAAATTGGCGCACTTGGGTTAGGCGCGACTTCAAGCGCAAGATGGCGGACATTTTGGAATGTATTTCCGGAGGAGTGCGAGCTTGAATAGAGTAACTTTGGAGTAGATGTAACTCCAGTAAATGCCACTTGATGCACCTGGACGGGATCCTGGATGCCGTTCGCGAGTTATTCCGACTCCGAGTGAATCGCAGTGGAAACGTCGTTCCGCTTATTGAGGTTTATTACGCGCTCGTGGGATTGAGGGAGAAGATCCCGGTTTAATATATCCCGTCAATGGAAATGTGTGGCTGAGCCGGGTTTATACCATAACCCAGGGTGGAAACCTGACGATTCGCAAAATACGTCATGCAAGCAGGCGTTATTCACCGCCTCGCCCTGAATAATTGCGTCCTATGGACGGTACCGGCCAGATAGCATTAAGTTAATTAATCTTCAGAATGGTCCTCTATGCCGAGAGGGTAAATGTTGGAAATTAAGAGGTTTCTCACCTGTCGGATATATGAAAATCGTCGGTCTCTTCGACTGGAGTGGAGGCACGGTTGGCCGGCTTGCCTTAACCTTGTCCGACATGGCGACTTTTGAAAGGCCTGAAAAAAGAAAATTTATTTAGGATATCTCTTGAAAACGGCGTTTCATAAGACTATTGTTATTACTATTAATCGCCATGTCCAGCATGGCGACTTTCGAAAGGCCTGAAAAGAAAAGAAAGAACCATTTTATTCACGACTCTTCATAAAAACGACGTTTTATAAGACTATTGACATTACTGTTAATCGCTATCTTTTTAAATGAGGAGGTTTCAGATATGGAGATATTACTAACATTAACTATTAACAACGACTACAAAATCAGGAGCGACACTTGATGCAGTGTTTACAAAATATTTAAACAGATCACGGGCGAGAATATTTATTTATATCATTTATACCTCCATAATTTGATTTTTAGATCGCGAAGGCATGTACCTTCTTGAAAAATGAATTGCTCCATCGAAACAATCATTATCATGTTTTAGCGTTAAGAAGTTCCGCTTTTTCTGATGTTTCGCAAGTGCGACGGAATCTTTTTTAAATGTTCCTTTGTGTAAATGATATTTTCCATTTCACAGTGCAATACCGCGAGTAATGCCCGAGTTTATGTAAATTCCCCGTTCCGAGGAAGAATCGCGGCCATTTATATTTCGCTGGCGACTGTACTCGAAATTCGGCGGATCTTGTGGAACACGCATACGTTTTCCACGTAGTGGTTGATGCACTTGCACTGACCTGAATTTGTTATCGTGGACGGATTTTCTATAGCCCGCCTCGTTCACTTTTATACACGCGATGATTCGATTTTGGACTGCATCGATTTAGCCCAGGCAGCTTCGCGAAGGAAAACCGGGCGGGCTTTCTAGTTTATTTCAACTTTTTCTTCTTCTTTTTTATTTATACATTCTCTGGGATACCTCCTTTATCCCTGTCCAGGAAATGGAAACGTCAGGGGCCCGTCGAGTTTCGCATCTTTTCTCATTGCTTTCGAGATTACCCACGGACTTCTATACTTTCGTTTCGTTCGTTTTCATTTCTCCGAGGGGCTTAAAAAGTTCCCTTGAAAATCTCTTCCCCGACGAAATATGCTAACAAGAAAAAGAAATAACTATAAGTGCAGAACATTGGAAGCGTCCTTAATTACTTTTCCCCGATGACTAATATCTTTGTACGATTACTTCGTAGGTTTGTCGAAATCCTAAAGCGAGATGTGTGGAAATATTAAAATCAAGGGTTATCGATAATTTTCCTTTGAATGTAGACCGAGGGAAAATAAAGAAATTAATTGAACCGAAGAAATAATTAAACGGCAGTGATTCCGAAGAAACGTTGCGTCCAATTTATTTGAATCGAATTCTTTGAATTAATACGATTTTTTTTTCGTCCCATTAAACGAGGATAGAAAGATAAAATTCGGAAACGAAGATGGATTTCTCAGGATGAGGCCTTTCATCGCTCTACTAGAGACCGAAATATCGAAGTCCGGAACTCTCCCGGTTGTTCGGAACTCCTCACTTCCGGTTGCCGCGAACGAGTGATCTCTTTATTTCTCGCTCCCGGTTCTTCTTCCCCACTTCCGGTATTACCCGCTGCCTCGTACTTTTCCTTCCTTCGCGGACTTCCAACTTATTCGCTTTACTTTCCCGACCGCATTCCCCAGAGTTCAGGAACCGCGAGTTTCCTTCGGCTCTTCCAACCGGGCGAAGATCCTGAGATTCAAGGACTTCCGGCGAGCGAGCCACATCCGCGAAATAATCGGCAAAAATTGTGAAAACGCGCAACATTTCATTAACATTTTCCGCAACGATGTTATTTAACGCAATCACGTTACGCGCCAAGAAATGTCATTGGCTGAGAAAAATTAATTCTCCTCAAATTATAAAAGTGGTCCAAGTAAAAAATCTAAAAAGGTCATTTATCCCATATTTTGTGTTATATCCATTTAAATTAAAACAACGCGATGCTAGTTTTGTAACAAAAATGGAAAGGAATGATTTAGGCCATTTTCATAATCATCGTCGTACATACATAGCTATAATTAATTTAATATCATTCATTTCTCACACCAAAATTTATTTCGCTCGAAACTCTCCCGATGTTTTGTGTTACTTATTGGTCAAGTACAATTATTACTTCTCAATTACCATACATTATTATTAAACCTTAATTTATTCCTTACATATAAGTAATATTATCTATATAGATTAAGGGGCGCACATGTGCTCAGAAATCCGAGGATTATCTGGAATTTGTATTAAGAAACTCGGTAGAGTTTCGCACCAAGTACATAGATAGAAACGTTTGAATTAATATATGCCGCAATAATTAATTTAGCAAAGTTTATGCCGAACGACCCCAAAGGGGCCATTCCTTCCTGGCCGGGTACAATTGTTCACCTGAAATTATCATAAATTATCACTAAACCTTAGTTTATTCCTACGTTCCTGCATATGTAGGATTGTCCTTTTAGATTAAGGGGCGCACACGTGCCCAGAAATCCAGGGTTCCCTCGGGATAGGGGGTCTCGTGCGTGTCCTGAAGAAATACACGGCCGATCCCGGAACGAGGGGGGGAATTACTCCACGGCTTTTCTTTTCCGTAAAATATTTTACGGCTCCCTCAGGAAGCCGGTTACGACGAGCCCCGACTTCCTGTTCAACCGATGGAATTTTCATGGCATCCGCTTCATCGCATTAATGCCAGCTCGGATTAATTCCTCCGGTTCGCGGGGGGTCCCGGAAAACTAGGTGCATCCATCATCGGAATTAGCCGTCCATTCGCGGATTTTATTCACCTCGAAATCCGGCCATTCAGCCCAGATTTATGGAGAGGCAAAATACTGACGATATTTACGACGTGCCCGGGGCAAAATATTCCGTTACGCAACAAGACATCTGCGGCGTGCCTCTACTTTTCCAGGATCTCGTATTAATTTTCCATTTTTAAATTTCCGGCGATGCAATCGCGAATATTCCCGGCCCTTTAGGAAAAACGACGTCATTTTGGATGTGAAAAGAAAAACATGCCGGATTCCATTTTCTAAAAGACACAGGAATTTCCTAGAGAAAGGAGCTGCCGGTGAATCTTTCTTTTTATAATTCCCGGCGATGCAACCGTGAATATTCCCGGCCCTTTAGGAAAAACGACGCCATTTTGGGATGTGAAAAAAAAATGCTGAATTCCAAAGACACAGGAATTTCCTAGAGAAAGGAGCTGCCGGTAAATCTCTCTTTTCATAATTTCTGGTAAATTCAATCTCGGAAGTTTTCGCGTTCATAGGGGGGACGTGAAATCGCTTTCGCTTTTCCATTTAATACTTCCAATAAAACGTGAATTATGGAGCCGACCCGGGGGAAAAAAGAATTTCTCCAGGGAGTGCCGAATCTGTCCAGGAATTTTTCGGGAGTTCCTGCAGGCCCAGCGGATTCGAAACTCGGCCTCGATTTATGAGGCACATTCGTTCCCAACGCCGAAAACGACGATTTATCGATGCGCAGTCGATATCACCGCGAGATAACTGATCCTTCCATCCACGGAACTGCCGGCAAATGTGCCTGCTTTGTGGCTGATCGCACGTTTCTCTGATTTCATTGGGAGAGTTCCATCGTTATGCGGGAGAGAAAAGAACTCAAAGGCCTACTTACGGCAGGTTAGCTTTGGGGCGAATCCTCACAGGAATATCCCGACCATCCCCGTCGACGGTAAATATACAACTGCCAATGGTACTCGCTCCGAATAAAGGTCGTCCATCCTTTTCGAACCCCTTTGTGCCTGCCCGTTGAAAAACTGTCCCATCTGGGACCTCCCTTTTTCGATTCTGAAAGAATTAACAAACCCGCTATTCAAAAGGACGAAATTCAATCCCGCGATTATTGCAAACCGTTTAAATATGTTTCGTTTGTGTTTTAAAGGGTGAATTTAATTGACGGGACAAATTTTATACCATTATGTCCTAGCTCATATAAAATGTATATTTTAGGTTATGGTTGGAATTATTTTATCGTAATAATTTGAAAAACTGTCCCATCTGGGAACTCCCCTTTTCGATTCTGAAAGAATATACGCAAAAGTTTAAATATACTCCAAATGTTTTTATTGTATTATAATTTCGCGGTGAATTCAATTGATATGCTACAAATGTATATTACGGTGAATTAAGGTTGCAATTATTGTAATGCATTTATTTTGGGAGTCTAGTCTAGTCTTATGATTGGTGACGGTATTCCGTTTTTAATTATCAAGAAGAATTATTAGATTGGTATGTTAAATTATGGAATTGTTGCTATCATTACTTTTAGTTTTCCGCGGGTTTCTTGGAGGATGTATGGTCGGTAATTGGTTTAATTCTCATTTGTTTAATCTTCAGGTCCAAGAGTGGGGCACGCGCTTGGAAAATGTCCAGCAATGTAATTGGCAGATTTCGGATTAAAATTCTGCCCGTGGAGTGGGAAAAAGTCTTAAAAGAATCAGCAGACTCTGCGGATTTCCGTTTTTCAGTGGCAAGAAGAGGAAACGAGTGGAGCTCGTGCAAATCGCTTCAAGAAGCTCATCGTTATTCGCGTTCAAGTACACCCTGATACCTCCAGATACGCCTATAAGAAGACCCTTCCTCTTTAGGCGAGATTTATGACCATTAATTCCATTATTAATGCCATCGTGGAACATGCAAATTGCGGGACCAAAATTTATTTTCATCGATAATCAAACTGTAATTAAGGACAAAATATATCCAGTGAAGAAAGTTGCACCCTCCGTGAATTTCCACTCCATTTAAAATTGAGGTAGCCTTCCGAAATCTATTTCATATATAAAAATAACTACTTAATTGATATACACCTTAGTGTTAAAAAATTGCATTCCAGCAGCATTCAAAATAACCAGGTCGTTCCATATGCATCGCGATTTTTTTTTTTATATATATCGTCTAAATCAATAAAATAAAAAAATCACTCTCCGAAAATATTATAATAGGTCGGTCATCCGTTAAATTTTCTTTCTTATCGTCCTAGCAACGAAGAAACCGCACGAGGCAATGTTTAGGAAGTAAATGAATTTTA